GTGAAGAGAGAGAGAAGGGCAGGCAAAAGGGAGGCCAGGGGCCCCTGCGTAGAAGGAGCAGGATCCTCCACTTACTTTGCAGAAACTAAGCGTAAGACACGGGCTGGCATTTTCTGAAAATGCAGTGAAATCAGGGGTGAGCCAGAAATTGGGATTTGCAGAACCTGCCCTCCAGTTTCCCCCAGTTGATACCAAGGAAAGTGCTCTTGAGCCCCGAGAGAAGGGGCAGTTACGTCCACGCGTGGCAATAATTCATTCTACTAGCATCTACTGGCTTAATCATGAGACACAGCTACTTTCTTATCTTTCCTTCCATCCTGCTTCCTCAAGAGTTTTAGCAATAGCTCCTGTGCACGTGTCCTTCTCTCCTGGTTGCAAACACAAAGTTCCTATTCCAGCCTTTGCTCTCTCAGCCCTGCTCTCACACACTTCAGTTTTCCTTCAGGCTCTGGCAAGGTCGAGGTCCAGGTGTAATAGATCATAACGTTGTTACAAGCAAAGAGAGGTGGCCAAGGAGATGGATTTGTCTCAGAAGGGATCAGATCTGCCTTCCTGACTTTAGTGGCAATTGAAATTAGGGTTTGGCAAATCTATTAATTTTGTTTTCTCTCAGTTTCTCATTTTCCCATCCCTTAGTTTGGTTCTCTACATTCCCACATCCGTTTGCATTTTAAAGAAAAAAATCATGAAAGTTTAGCAGCATTTTACTCCAGATTTCTAATACACGTTTGTGCATGCAATTTTGCACAATATGTACATCTTTGCAAAGCAATGTCCCCTAGTATAATCCTTTTTTGCATGTTCTTTTGGGGTCTATGGGGTGTTAGGGGAGGGGTGGTACCTCTGGTGGGGGACACGTCCTGCTACTTCTGGGGCAGTTCACCCACCTTTGGTCCTGACCTGCACTCAGCTCTCCCCTGCAGCAGCGCCTAGAAGCTGCCAGGATGCCACAGTGGCCACAATCCCCGGAATGGCTTCCACTGGTGAGTGTAGCCAATGGGTCTCAAACCCTCGGGGAGTTAGGGGCTTCTCCTGCACGCAAAGACAGGCTCTGGCAGATGGAGCAGCCAAGACCAAGAGTGGGTCCAGCAGTCAAGAAGGCAGTTTCTGCATGTGCTGGAGAGGGAAGGGGGGTGGGTAGATGGGGCTTTTCCGCCTGGGAAGGGAGGCCATCAGGGAGAAGGAAAACTCTGATCCTTTGCAATTCAACCATAAAACACTGCAGCAAACTGATAGCTTTTATATCCATTCATTCCATATCACTTCATTTTTGCCCCTTCAAGTTGCATTTAGAGCAGTTGATAGTCTTTTATAGAAACATGGCAGGGTGTTGCCCATGGGGAGAGGGGTCTAGAATGAAATCCCACACCCCACCTCCCTCCGGCCCAGTTCCACGCGCTTCTTCTGGAATCCCACAGTATATTTTAAAAGGGTTCATCTGGCTTAGTCTGCTGGGGACAGAAGTTCCAGGCAGATTAGACCTCACAAAAATAGGCAGGCATTAAGCCATCTGAGTAGCTGGCAACCTCCTGTGAACGCTTACCTTTAAGCCTCACGGTACCTGCGGAGAGCGAACGTGTCAAGGGGACGCCTGGCTTGTCCCGAGAACAGGCAAGAGTCATGGCTGCAGCAGGGCCTGCGCTAAGGGAAATGCCAAGCCCCTTCCCTGGAATGTTTGGCGTTATTAGAATTATTATAATTAGCCATCATTACATTGATCAGTCATTTTGCATCAAAAAGCAATCAAAACATTAAAAATATATATAAAACAATGGACAGTACAAACAAATATGAAATGCCCTTCCAGCAGTGCATTAATGGCAAAGTCCTACCTGCCCCGCTAAAAGATGCGCCTCCACCTGCATAGGAGGCAGTCAAAGGTCTGGGCAAACTGACCCCTGAGGAACCTGCGTGGTGCAGTGGCTAGAGTGTGGGAAAAGGAACTGGGAGAGACCAGGGTTCAAATCCTGCTGTGATTCCTGCATTGTAAAGGCTTGGACGGCATGACCCTTGGATCCCTTCTAACTAACCTTTTAAGATGCTCATGAAGCTCACTGGGTGACTTTGGGCCAGTCAGGGTCTCCTGGCCTGAGTCACATCACCAGGCTGTTGTGAGGATGAAAATGGAGAGGATGAGAACCATGTACACCTTGGAGATAGAGATATAAACGTAGCGATCCATCCATCCATCCATCCATCCATCCATCCATCCATCCTCTGGCTAATTATTACTGTATCAACAAGTATGTTTCTATTCCTCGTTACTTGCGGGCATGTCATGAAAAGTGCAGGTGCAGGAGTCAACCCAACTGTCCAATAGAAGCAACCCTCTTGCTGCCTCCCAGTGTTTTGTCCAATGAATGCAAAGTCACCAGGGCTGGGTGCGGTGAGGGGGAGACAGACCAACGGGAGGCCTTTCTTCTTAACTGCTACAAGATGAACTGTTGTTGCACGGCTGCTGAATGCAGCTAGATAACTTGACATTGGTAGCATTAGCCTGGCCGCAAGGTTTGTGCTTCATAGCCTTGAGTCTTTCCCATCAGCTAAGCTGGATTCCCACTTCAGAATCCCCCCTCTCCCTCCACGGCATGTGCTGGCAACAGGAGCAGGGCCCAGAATACCTTGGGGTTACCAAGGTGCCGGAATCCAGCTCAGAGGGAGACACAAACAGATTAGGTCGAAAGACTTGATCAAGGATCGAAAGTCTGGATGGGAGACAAGACAGGGATTGGAAGAGAGGAGAGGCTGTTTCCAACAGAAACACACAGCTGCCTGGACTGATTTGCTAATCTTTGCTTGGCTGAGACCACAGGATTGTCAGCAAACGCCTTAGCTCAGTCTCCTACCAGGGAAGTAGAGGCAGCTCCTGGGATGATGGAACCTGGAAGTCAGGCTCTGGTTGCAGGAAGCCTGGATGCTGCCTCCGGCTGAGTCAGGACATCAGGAGCATCTTGCTCAGTGCTGTCTTCACTGGCTGGCAGCATCTCTCCAGGCATCTTTCACAGTCCCTGCAGGAGACGCCAGGGATTCAACCTGCAACCGTCTGCATGCAAAGTGGGTGCTCCGCCACTGAGCTTGTCTGCCCCTAAAAATATTCTAGTCTTTGTGGTTTTGTAAAAAGGGGTAGCTTTTTTTAGATATATATTTTAAAAAAGAAGCTGCCAATGAAATATTTGAACCCCCCCCTTAATGGACATTGCCATCCAAATGGTGTGCATGCACTGCATCATGGGATCAATTATGTGGGGCAGGGCTTACCTGTCCCCCCCCCAATATTTTACTCAGATTGGCAGCCCTGCCTCAAAGAATGAGTGCTTTGTTTGGATCTGAGAGGAACTGATGCTTTTTATTAATCTGATAACACAGATTAGCTCATTGCCAAAAGCAAGGGTGAGATACGCTGCTGACTGGATGGTGCTTGCAAAGTCCCACAAAGCTTGATTTCATTGTGATGTCAGTGGGGTTGACAGGTGGGTGGCCCCTATCAAAGCTGGCCAGCTTGGAGTGGAGAACGTAAGGATCCAGTCAACTGGCCAGATTCAGTTTTCTACTAATGGCATGCATAACATGCACACACATCAGTGCAAATGTAATGCAAAACTGCCTTATTTATAATATGGGAACATTTAGTTGTGAGTCCTGCATTGTAGGTGGTTGGTCTAGATGGCCCTTGGGAGTCCCTTTCAGCTCTACAATTCTATGATGCTATGAAATGACAGAAGCAGAAAATGACAGGTCTCCCATCCCTAGGCATGGGAAAGGATTGCTGGGAGAATACTAGTCCGAAGGTACCAGGACTGCTAAGGCAATCATGAGCAGCTTGGGCCCAGGATACCTTAGGAGCACCTGAGATTCTCTGTCGTAGTCCAATCACTAAACTGATCCAGAGGACTGCTGAGGGTTGTCGCCTGTGTTGCACAGAGGCCCAGGGAACCTCAACCAGAAGCTAGCCTTGCTGTGCATGTTGTGCAAACTCTCTCCTGTCACAGATTCTGCGGGCATCCTTCCTTTTGACTTCCATGCATCCCCTGAATACTGTTTTATGGCAACACTTGAAACTATGCACTTCTTTAAAATTTCCTTGCACAACTACTGATTTTAATTATTGCTCTGCATTGCTTTTAAAGTTTTCTTAGGCTGCTTTATGTCATCCTGAAGTTTTTATAGGGGACAGTATAGAAATACTTTCTAAGTAAACAAACAAACTAGCAGTGTGTTTTTTCCAGATACTGGAAGTTGGTGGGGGGGACGTTTTGGATGGAAAGTGCTGTGTCCACAGGCATAAATTGAGGTGGCTGGGGGGGGATTCAAGCCATATGCCCCCCTCTCTTTCTCATGCCTCTGTAGAGCTGGTGCGCCTGTTCCAGAATGAGATGGGATCAGCTGCTCCCACAAATTGGCTTAAATTTAAACCAGAGCAACAAAGAAGGCAGTGGACCAATTTCTTTGATTTAATACGCAAAGAGCTAACTCCACCCCGAGCTTTCTACCTGCTTTACCAGTTCTGGCTTGGGGTCCCCAGCAGGTGGAGGGATAGGAGCAGCGTGGTTTGGGGGAGCAGAGCATCCAAGGCACAATGACAGAGCCTGAAGGGGTTGCATGCAGGAGGTCCCATGTTCAGCCCCTGAAATCTCCAACTCTGACCAGGCTGCAGAACAATGAACAATTAATCCTTAAGCCTGCAATTCCTGAATCATCATTTCACAAGATGCATTTTAAAGATAAGGGGGTGGGGAGAGAATGGTCAGAGGTTTGGCTGTTTTAAAAATGTTGCTGCGAGGAAGTTTTTTTCAGATAAGCAATTGGAAAGGTGGAAAGTGTATCTCCAGGCTGCAGAAACAAGACCACTCTTATGGAATGATGGAATCCCTTTAATGACTGAAGCACAGTATTAAAACAATCTACAGTATTATTTCGTTTTTAAAGGGGGGGGGAACACACTAAAATTACCAAAATTTTAGACTAAACAAAAACCATATTTTGCAACTGTGGAAGAGTGGTTAGGCGCCGCCCTCCTCCCCCTCTTTCTTGTCCTTCTTCCCCTCGCCCTCGGTCTCCTCCTCGATGTCCCGCCGCCTCTTCCGGTTGTGTGGGCCAGGCCGGTTTTTCAGCAGAGCTAAGGGCTCCATGCCGAGGACTTTGTGGATCTGACGGAAGGCCAGCATCCTCAAGGCATGCTGCGGGGAGGGAGAAAGGCAAAGATGCACACAGGGTTAGGATTCTGAACCCTACATATCTTTAGGTGCCAGGCAGAATCACTCCCTTTCTAACCAGGCCTTAAGCTTTAAACTACTCCTGCTTTCCCAGCACACTGCGTTCCCACTTCATTGCTATTTTGAAAGAAGTGAATAGCGTTCACATTTTAAGGATATCTATAAATGACTTCTTGAGGGTGGAGCAAACATTCCCCAATCAGCTTAGAGCAAAAAGTATATAGAGAAACATTAATGAATGTTGGTGCTACATGAAAATGTTAATGTTTTCTCTGGTTTCTCTTTTATGGTATAACGTGTTTATGTTTTGTTTAGGTAACAAGCGGCGACTCCTCCTGCTGCTGCTGCTAAACTACACTGTCCTAACTCAGAGGAATTTCTAGGTGAGTGCTAATAATTACGGCTCCCTTGGCTGACAGAGCAAATTCCACATTTCTGGATCCTGGCGCTGGTTGACATCAAGAGAAGGCAATGAGCGCCAAATTGCAGATCTGCCCTGGCGACAAAGGAAGGGCAGGACACCCTCTGGCTAGAGAGAGACGGCAAGCAGCCAACTATGGGCTATGACACACTGAAGAGAGAGAGACCAAGAGCTGTAGAGAACCAAAGTCTCTCTTCCATGACACTTAGTGCAAGTGAGCCAGGCGCCACTCGGGGAAGCAAGTGGTCCTGGCGAAGCCTTTCAGGATTCCTATAAGCTTAATTTTAAGTTCACAAGCCCCACAGCAGAGATTGGGAATCTCTGGTCCTCCAGGAGCGGTGGGGCTCCCAACTCCCACCAGCCCCAGCCAGCACTGCCCATGGAGATGCCTGGAGGGCTGCACGTTCTCTCTGCCTGCCCTGCAGGCCTCAAGGCAAAGAGCCCAAGGCACTACCCACCTGGCTGCTGGCCGTGACGTCCTCTCGCTGCTGCCTGGCCATGCTCTGCAAGGCATCCACTGGCTCTTTCTCACAGGGGTCTTGGAGCCCTGGGCCATCTGCAGGGAAGCAGAACATGGCAGCAAGGTTATGCGTAGGAAGGAGGCAAACTTTGATTTTTAGCAACCTGATTCCACTCCCAACCCAGATTCAAAATATTGAGGGGGCTGGAGCCCCTGGAGCCCCCTACCCTTGGTGACAAGGAGTATTTCTAGTGGTTTGTTTCTCCAGTTCATTTCTGGGGATCAAATCCTCCTTAGGGCAGGGATGGGGAAACCTAAGCCTCCCCCAAACCCTTGTTGTTGCAGATTGCAAATCTACGTTAGAGCTTTTAGAAAACTAAGGAACGAACCTAAAATGAATGAGAAGCCACCAAGCAGGGTTTTCTCGGCTGCTAAGCTGCGCTGTGGGTGTTTGTGTGCTGAGACCAAAGTACCAGTTTCAAGCACTGCAGGTCTGCTCACCTGTTTTTGTGATTTCACTGTGTTGCTCACAGCCGTCAAGGCCAGATACTTGTTTTTAAATAGTAATAATAGAAAACAAATAGTTTTAGCACAAATCCAGAAAGTTGGAGCTAGTACACAGTGGAAGTGGTTTTCCAGAACCTTCTTAGGGCTGCATTAAGAGGAACCTTGTGGGAGAAGGAGGGGAGGGGTAAACATGGTTTGGTCTAGGGACATCGCCCCCTGGTGGCCGCTGGCTCTCCAGGCTTCCCTTCCCTCCAGGCTCTACTTGGGAGATGCTGGAGATGGGGGCTATTTAGCAGGTGAAGCATGTGCTCTGAGCCAGAAGCTGTGGTCCTGCCCCAAAACTGGGAGGAAGACTGCAGTTGGCGCAGCTTGCAGAGCTGACCTGCCAGGAGCATCCCGGTGGCAAGGCACTCCAGGACCCGCCGCATGGCCTCCCCAGGTCCCAAAGGGCCCGTGGCGCTGCTCAGAGCTCTTTCCACCAGCAGCTCCATCGCCTGGAAGAGAAGAAGAACACAACTTCTTATATGGAAAGTGCAGTTTATAAACATGTGAATATCTTGTTGAGAATGAAGTGCGCCTTTCTTAATGCCACTAAGCATTTCCCAATTTTTTTTTACTTCAGACTATGGCCTGTCTGCACTACCCACTTAAAACAGTATCATACCTTCCCCTAAAGCATCCTGGGAACTGTGGTTTGTTAAGGGTTCTGAGAGGAGGACACCCTTCAACCCAAGAACTACAGTCCCCAGAGATCCATGGGAAGAGGGGCTAAACCACTCTGGGAATTGTAGCTCTGTGAGAGGAATCCAATTGCGGAGCAGCGACAAGTAACCAATGTGGATGCAAACCAACCTCCCCCCACATTCTCCTTTCCATTTGCTCTTGGACTTCAACTCCCAATGTCCCTGAACATTAGGCAAGCTCCTCCCACCATCCCTGAACACAGCCAGTGGTTCAGAGATTATGGGATTGGGAGTCCAACAAGGTCAAGAGGGCACCGGGTTGTGGAAGGCACCTGTGGCACCAAGCAGGGAGGAGCTCCACTATTGGGGGCCATCACTGAAGAGGCCTCCTTTCCAAATACCACCTCCCCCCCCCCTTACACCCCTGCAGAAGGGGCTCCTATGATGACCTGAGTGAACTGAAGCCCAACATATACAGTCTACTTCACTTGCTAAAAACAAGACTCTGGGAATGGCCTAATCTTGTGATGCGCATCGTACTGTTGGTTCAAGCATGTGCATGCGTGTGAATTCCCCAAAGGTGCTGCCTCTCCCCGCCTCCTTACCCAATCTGGAAGAGCACCCCATGTTGGCACACGCTGGCAGAGGTCCCGCAAAACCCTGATGATGATCACACACGACTGCAGGCCGTTGGCTCGGGCCTTTGTGGAGAGGGGAAAAAAATCTCCATCTCAGATCCATGTCTTGAAATAAAGCGAACATGAACTGTCCCCCTCCACAATAAGCAAATGTCAGGGCACAAGAAATTAAGAAAAAGGGAAACCGGTGATGCTCTAACAAAGCCGAGGGTTGTCTCTGAAATGGGTCACTGTGGATTTGAAATCATAAGATTTAAAAAACACCAAGTTAAGACTTGGTGGCTTAACTGGACCCTCCTTCTTGGGGGCCAGGGGGGCGGACACAGCCCTTGGCCACAGTCCTTGGCCAAACTGGCTTATCTTACCTGGAACCATTTTGCATGGCGAAGAGCAGCCAGGGACTCCAGGCACTTATCCTTGTTCAAGGTCTCTGCAGAGTCGAGCTGAGGTTCTGGTGATGTTTCTAAGAAGGAAGCAGAAAGGGAGGGAGGAGGTGGAAGAGGCAGGCTGCAACCCAGTCATCCAGAAGAGAAGGCAAACCATTTTGCATAATGTGGCACAACCATCAGCATGTTGGACTAGGATCACCTGGGAGATCTGGGCTTGCTTGAACTCTGCCACAAAGCTCCCTGGTCCCCTTGGGCCAGTTTCCCTCAACTTGCTTCCCTAACCTCACAGGGTTGTTGGGAAGATAAAATGTGGAGGAGAGAACCATATACACACCTTGAGCATATGACACCTTGTAATAAACCATTTGAGCATCACGTCTACAGGTAGCGGGGGATATTCCTAGTTCCGCTATCAGTAAAAGTCTCCGAACACCAGGCTGCTGGAATCACAAGTGGGGAAGAGCTGCTCTTGTGCTCAAGGTCTACCTGGGGGCATCCCATTGGGGCATCTGCTTGGCCACCGTGAGAGGAGGCCCTTGGCCTGGTCCAGCCAGGCTTTTCTTCCGTCCCCATGCTCCCCCTCCTCAACCCACAACACATGGGTGCACATGGCAGCACGCGAAAGGCACAGGCCCCTCCACACAGCGGAGATGCACCCACACCCCTCCTTTACCAGCCTGTGAATTTCCTACAGGGAACATTGGCCAGACATGGGCGCACCCAAGACGCTGCATGAAACGGCCCTGGCAAAGCAGGGGTTCCCTTGCCATTTGCATTCAAACCGCGTTCCCTTTTTCTTCCTGCTTTAATGGGCAACCACAGCTGGGGGAGAGTTTTCTCGCGAGATCTGCCACTACAGTAAGGCTGCAAAAGCAATTTTCTTTGCCTTCTCTCCCCCCAACCCCCAGCAGCTCCTTCCAGCCACCCATAAATGGGTGGGCTTCAGCAACATTACAAAAGAGCAGGCATGGAAGCAGAATGCTTAGCCACCCACAAGCATCGATTCTAGCTAGGAAGACTTCCCCAAACACCCCTGGTCAGTTCCAATTTCCTTTGGAGATGGTGATGTGGAAACTCGGTCAGAGCCAGAGCTGAAGGTCAGGTTATTTTTATTTTAAATGATACAAGGCCCAACCTTTCGATCAAATGATCTCCAGGGTGGCTTACAGCAAAGGCATGAGCTCTTGGGGATAAGGGGATGACATCAAAGCCCGTCTCTGGCACCCAGGACTCCTGTTGCAGCATCCGCTGGGGAAACCGCCTTGCCTCCTGAGGGGGAAGCCGGATGCCAGCCGTCTCCCAGGGCAGAGAAGCAGGGAAGCTGGAGGGAGACAGCCTCACCCTTCTTTCTGGGGTGCTGCCCCCTGGTGGTGGACCACAGATCTGCCCAGATGCCAACCCTTTCCTCTCTCCTAAAAGGGGGGGAAGGTAAAACAAGGCAACACAAACAGCACCAGCAGGATCTCCAGCTCCGTATGCTACGCTGATATACATTAATTTCAATGGGTCTACTAGTGAGTAAAATTTAGTTGAAGTGAATGCTGTCGAACGCTCTTCCAGGAGTGATTTGGCAAACACCCTCAAATTTGAATTTCAGGTGTCTCTTGAAGACTTTTTTCATGCTGACAGGCCCACACACTTACTTAAAACTTTCCTTGAGGACCCAAACATTCTGCTCTGTTCTGCTTTTAAAGGTTTTTATGTTCCTATACACAACTCTGAGGTTTAAACTTTTATAAATAAAGTTCTGAAGACTCACCTGCATCTGCAGCGGCCTCTTCTCTCATCAAGGGAGACGTCAACGAAACTGTGACCTGCATTTGGGGTTCTCTGCATGACGCAATTACAATATTGGCTTCCTCAGAGTTGGACAGCACTTCGTAACTGTCAGTCGTCACCTTCTGGGACAGATGAGGAGAAAAAGAGAATTCAATCAGCCTTTGAGAGATGCCCACCTGCCCAATACAGATTAGGACAGAGATGGCAAAACTTCTGACCCTGGGGCTGCTGTCCCCGAGGACAATCAGCCAGGAGCTGCGTGCCAGTGTTGGCGTATGCCAGCGCAACAAACACGACTGTCACACAGGTGTGCAAGAGCCAGAGGTTTTTACACACAACTGCTCCATCTAGCAAGCAGGAGACAGCGGCGAGAGCTCCAAGGACACATTCCAGCCAGGCAGAGGCACTCAAGGAGGGTGCGGGGCAGGCTGGGGAGAGTCCCAAAGCCAGGAAGTGAGGCCCAAGAGGCCAGATCTTAGATTCACTGGGAGCAGGGACCTGCTTTTACTGTGGAAACTATGTCATGCCTCTTGTCATTTGTTATACTTAGGTATTTTTCTTAAACGCTCTTCCTCAAACGATTCCAGGGTGGTGTACAAAGTGCCACAATATAAAACTCAAATAAAAGGCAGACTAAAAAACAGCAACTGAAGAGCAGAGTGAGACAATTCCAGCTCCACGTAAGATGCCAATGTGATCATTAAGGTCCACTTGGCATCAGTAAGGAGTCATTCCTTTAGTTTAGTAGCAGCTGTCCTTTGGAACTCCCTGCCTCTTGATGTCAGGTGGGCCCCACCACTGTTTTCTTTTTAGATCCCTGCTGGGAACCTTTTCTGTTTCAGCAGGCCCATCCAGACACAGGATTTGAATAGAATAGAATAGAAATTTAACAAACAGCTAAAATATATAAAAATACACACATCCTACTCTCCAACGGTTGGCAAGTCTGATTGTGGAGAACAGAGAGGCCTTCCTTACCTCCAGCTGCTGGGGCAGCTGCTCCGTGATGCTCTGGAGAAGAGCCAGGGTAGGTTTCTGGGCCGACAGCAGGATCAGGCGAACATTCCTGTCTCCGCGGAGAAGCAGCCCTTTTGCCAAGACGCCAACTCTCATTACCCCTTTCAGAAGCCGGGGAGGGTCATTTGCCTTCCTGTTGAAAGGAGAGGGGCAGGAAAGGAAGCGTGCTCATGAGGACTAGCTACCTAGCACGGGCGATTAAATGCACCAGGAAGGGTTCCAGCAGGGATGTCCAAGGCATTGTGTGCCGCTGCTGCTCCCCCCCCTCAAGTAAGAGGAGCAGGTTATTCCCCTGCTGGCAGCCTGGCCTCGTGGTTAGGAGTGACTAGGAAGACTTGGTGACTTTGAGCCAGTCACCCTCTTTCAGCCTGTTCTACCTCACAGGGTTGTTTGTGAGCTTAATTCGAGTGAAGGTCAAGAACAGAGGCGGCCTGAAAGCATTACCCTTTCTCTTTACTGCCTTCCTCTTTTTCTGTTTCCTGCTCCGTCAGCCAATCGGAGACGAGCCTAAGGGCACGCTCAGAGTGAGAGACAACTTTCTGAATGGCCTGCAGCTCGTCTTCTGTTGGGTAGATGCTGGAGTGCTTTGTCATGATGTGGCGGTCATCAGAAGAGTCCGGTCGCCGGGTGGGCTGAGGGAGATAAAATGGACAGGAGGAGTCTGTCAACTAAAGCGGGCAAACAAGGTGAGGAAAAGGCACAGATCAGACTTCATGGTGAATCACAGTTCAGCGCGATATGACTGAGCCTTGGACTTTTACATGCCCCACTTTTCTTCCAACAGTCAGGAAGAGAAACCAGAAGCACTCACTTCCTGGTTCACATGAACACAGTTTCTCATTACATCCAAACTGGGAACAGTGATATGTTTAAACTATTTTTCATTGAAGCAAGCCAGGAGCAGAAATCAGTTTTGATTCTGGCTTCTTTCAATAAATTTAGAGTTTGAGCCAAGAACATGGATCCTCCTGCCTGCAGCCCTAACTAGAACTAACACAGGTTCCTCCTCCACCCGCAAGTCACCTGCCCCACCCCTGATGTCAGTGTTCAGCCCACTGTCAGTGCCAATAACCTGGCTGGTGCTGAATGTGAGCCTCACCTTTGCCAATGTCAGGGTGCCAAACTCCCGGTTTAGAATAACCACAGTTCATGAGCAACAAGAAACTGGTCAGTTCAAACCAGTAAATGGATGCTTCCAGATCCCCCTGGCAGCCATGTGAAGAGCCGAAGAGCCAGGCTTCTTCAGGTCTAGCGTTACACTGGAATAGATTCACGGTGTGATTCAGCTGGCTGGCTTTGCAGGGAGCCTGGGGTTTGAAGGAAATGCCACCCAAATCCGGATACCCACCAAGAGAGGGGGGACTGGCACTCCAGGCCTGCCCATGAGGGGTGGCGGGGGCCAGTCTGCCGCCAGGTGCCGCCGCTGCTGCTCCTCCCAATACAGCTGCTCCTCCTCCACCCGACGCCAGTACATTTCTTCTTCATAGCGCCTGGAGGGGAAAGGCGGGAGAAATGATGCCTTAGAACAGCCTGGAGGGACAGCAGCAAGCAGAGCCAGCCAGGATTATGGACCAACAGCAGGAAACCCTCTGGAGTTGAGTGAGGACTGTATCTTTTTGTTCAGTCCATCCATCCTGGTCTGCCCCCAAGGCTTCTTCCTCCCGTGACACTGTACATTCACATTCTTCCTGCCCTGCCCTTTCAGATGCTACGCTAAACTGTGATTCCGCATTCTGAGCACCAGCCTCAAGCTCACAAATTTCATCCTGCCTCCCTGCCTCCGAGGAGGACAGCAGGAAACTCAACCGACTTCTCCACTGCACCAAACTCAGACAAAACTGTGATGAGTTGGAACAATGGCTTGCTCAAAGTAATCAGGATCAAAATTGTGCTTCATGAAGCTGGCTTGTTTAAACAAACAGCAGTTTAACCAGACGTGTGCCCCCCCCTTCCTACGTGCCTAGATGCAGCAAGCAACTGTGATTAGTTCAAAAAGCAAATTTCCAATCTCCTCCTCCTCTGACAGGAAAAGCGGGAAAACATGTGAGACCAGAACTCATGTGAGCAAAGCTAAACAACGGTGAGGGTTATGCCTAAACTGGCCTCTGCGTCTCCTGGCTTCCTGTTATTAATCCTACACTGCCCAGTTTAGACTGTAAGCTGCTCAGGAGAAGAGACTGTCTATATTTCCTCTGGGTTGCTGATGGTGCTGGATAATATTGATAATATAACAACAACAAGAAGAGTCACAAGAAGGCTTCTTGCCCTCCCTCCCTCTTCTTCCACAGATAAGAGTACAGCCATCAACCTGCAAAAGGCCAGCCAGAGTTGGAACCTGACCTTTCAGAGAGAAAGCAAACAGGGTCCAGCACGTCAAGGCAGCTTTCCCGGTCTCCTGAGTCAGCCGACTGAGGGAAGTTCTCCACGGTTACAGGCCGGGACTGAACCTGGGACCTGCTGTTGCAGGCAAAGGGGACGCTCCGCCCCCCAGCCCCTTCCCCAGGACTCGCCTCATCTCTAGGTGCCAGCGCTGCTCTTCCTCTCGGCGCCTCTTCCCCAGGGACCGCAGCTGCTGCTTCTTCAGCTTCTCCTCGTGCAACTTCTGAGCTCGGTTGCTGGGCTTGATCTCGACTGGCAAGTCAGGATTGACTTTCTTCTGCAAGAGGTTTGTTGCCGTCAGGCTCAGAATAGAGCAGAGGGCCTCATCCTGTTCAGTTATTGCTACAAGCTGTGTCAAGAGGCAAAGATCCAGAGGGACCAGGAACCTGGGCCCCAAATCGTTTCCCATCCGCTTTCCCCATCCGGGTTTTCCAGATGCTGCTGCTCCAGGCAGCCTGCTCAATTCGGGAAGATTTACTGGCACCCATACAAAGCACACTTTCCAGGATTCTCCAGTGTGGGAATCCAGAAGAGCTAACTGTATTTCAAAATGGTGGGCATTAACAGAGGTCCCTTCCTTTCTTGCAGTCCTGACTTCCACCCTCACAGCCACCCAGTTTTGTGGAGGCTACAATTACGGCCAATTTAGAACTGGCAGAACTGACTTCCAGAAACAGGGCCTTGGCCCAAGGCCTCCCCAGCGCTCCCATCATTAATTTCTGCATTCCAGAACAAGATTACATCAAAGATATTGTTGGAAATCAAAATGGAAGCTTCAAGACTCACCAATCTGCCTCTAACTGGAATGCGGGATGATGGGAACAAAAGGGGCCGCAGAGGATGCGTAGAAGAGAGGAGGGGACCCCCTCAGGCCCAGGGGCCAAAGACTGCTTCACCCACTGCTGTCTTTGGCCCCACAGAAGCAAACAGGCTCCCTGCACCCCTCTCACAGCAGGTGGGTCTTGCCAGACAGGGGCTCCCCCACTGGGCCGGCCAGCCTTGGAGGCCCAGCCCACACCAGGCCCTCCCAGCCCTCGCACCTTGTACTGCAGCCTGTGCCGGCGGCCCCTCAAGTGCATGTCCTTAGAGTTGGGGTCATTGAAGCTGCACTCACAAAGCTTGCAGTGGAAGCGAACCATCTTGCCTTTGTCGTTGTGGACCTAGAGAGGTGCAAGATGCATCGTCTCAGCCAGGCTGGTCTGGAGAGGCAGGAAAGCGAAGATCTCCCCGTGGGACAGAAACCAGGCCCTGAAAACCCCCACCTTGCCAGATCTTCCATAGGGAGAGATGCAGGGAGAGGGAGAGGGGAAAGCAGGATTGAGCCAAGGGAGCAACCGTGGAAGCCCGGCTTCCAAAGAGCTCGCCTGCCCCATTTACACTGCCTTGGTGGAAAAGATATTTGAAGTAACTCAGTTAATATCCCTGACAGATGACCGGCAAATATTTCAGTGAAGGAGGCACGCCCTCCCTTTCCCTTTGCTTTACCTCTTCGACATAATCGTGACCCACAGGCTGCACGTCCAGCAGGTCCCTCAGACCGTCTCCGGAGCTGCTGAGGGGGGACCCGTCTGCTGGCCTCGCGGCTTTCGGGGACACCCCTTCTGCCCCTTCCGGCTTTGCGCTTGTCACCTGAGCTTTGCCTGCTCCTGATAAAACAGCCATGGAGGTTCTCAGATCTTGACCTGGCCAGATCAAGAACTGGTAGCCCTCCAGACACTGCAGAACTACAACTCCCAGCCTGCATTGCCAATGGTCAGGGATGATGGGTGTTGTATGTCCAGCTACACCTGGAGGGCTGAAGCCCCCCCCACCTGCAGTCAGAAACAGGGAGTCCCCTCGACCACCTCACCCCCCGGCCTGCGCAGAGAGATCACTCCCCAGAGAACGCCTCTCTGCAAAGCCTCTCGCCCAGCCCCCCTCGCCACAGTGCCTACCTGGAAACAAGAGCTTTGCCTGCCCCAGGGGCTTCTTGGCAGAAAGCGGCTTGCTCGGGCTGGGTGTGCTGTTGGCTGTGCCCACAGCCTGCTTTGCCAGCACGCTGGCCGTGGTGGAGACAGGGGGGTGCAGAGCTGGCTTGCTGGCGGAGCCATTGGCCGGACTCACAGAGACGCTGAGCATCATGGGCTCGACGGAAGGGATGGGCTTCCCCCAACTTGGTGTGCAGCTTGAGGACCTGGAAGACACATGTCCTTCAGCGGAGGGGAGACGTGGCCCAGCACAGGCTCCCAGTACTTGGGCTGCGTCAGCTCCCCGCAGCTTGGCTCTGGGCAGGAGCAGCTGGCGCCCCTTGGGGAAGGCAGAAAGGCCAAAGAGAGTGGGAGCCAGAGGCAGTCAGCCAACGCTCGCTTTGTCCCTGTCCTCCGCCCCAGGAGACGGAAGGCGGAGGGGCCACCCCCCTGGAGTGGACCAAAGTCTCCCATAAGATCCTCCTTCCCGGTGCCCCCCTGCGCTTCCCAAAACACTCAACCTTTTGGTGCTTGGCTCCTCGGATATGGGCCACGTAAGCATCTGCCCCGGTGCAAGAAACATCGCAGAGCTCGCAGTGCAGCTGGGTCTGGACCCCCCGTAGGCCGCTGCCCCCCGCCTGGCTCCCTGTCTTCAGTGCCGTCTCCTTCTTTTTGTGCTTTTGTCCTTCTAGGTGCTCCCGGTAAGTCTGCAGGGGGGTGGGAGGAAGGACATGGCAGGATCCTCTTGCCCCGAAACGGTTTTATGGCCTACGGCACGTCTAAGAAGTGGAGGGCGATCCAGGACGGGCCTTGTGTTGGTGCAGGGAGGTGAGCTGTGTCTGGAGGTGGTGCAAAGAGGCATTATGGCACTCTGAAGACACATTCCGGCCCTGCAAAAGCAGTCGAGGAGAGGGCTGGTCAGGGTCAGTGAGGTGCGAGGCCTGCAGAGAAGGCACGGCTTGGGGAAGAGTCCCGAGGGCTGCACAGAGAGGCCGCAAGAGCTGCATTCAACCCCAGGCCTAAGGTTTCTCAGCCTTGCTCTAAAGGGAGAAGAGGAATGTCTTTTATGGAGAACAGCTCTGTCCACAATGATTCCCTGTCAGAGCTAAAGAGAACTGCTATGTTCAAAGGCTGTAGATCTCTGAACACCATTCTTTTGTGGAGTAAACAAGGGACAGCTGCTGTATTCAAGGACTGTTTGGGGGGGGAGGGCTTTCCAAAAGCATCTGTTATCCTGATGAATACAGAACAAGGAGATAGAGGAACCATTTGTACAGTGCTTAGTAAATCTGAGGGGCTTCGAAGCAACCAGGGCAGTACAAGCCAGCCTGGCACTGTAAAGCAGGGGCAGGGAAGCTATGAGGAACCCTTTTGGCTCAGTGGTCCAGATCCATATTAGATCCTAGGCTTGTGGTCCAAATTTGACAAGACGGGTGGGATCATCTGGTGTCACAATGAAGTCAGGACACTAGGCATTCTGAAGTCCTGGCATCAAAGCCAAGGCAGGGCTTGCAAGGAGCTTCCACGTGCCTGAGGCTTTGCCTTTACCTGTTTTCTGCAAGCATCGGCTGCGAGAAAGAGGAGTCAGTGTCAGGAACTCACTCGTGCAGCTGATCCAGCAGCTTTTGATCAGCCCAAACCTGCTTTCCCTTGCCTATGAGCCATCAGGATCACACTTTAAGGCTCCCAATGGGTACACTGATAGTCCCATCTCCACTACTGACATCAAGGGTGGCGCAGGCGGTTGTGGTTTGGGGAAAACGGCCTCACAATTTGACCATCTTGTGGGTCAAGTTGGCCCTGCTGAAGACCAACAACATCTGCCTGGCCACGGGCTCCCTGAACCATATCTGCATAGACTCTGTACCTCTGGTTCCTGCCTAAGGTCTGGTCAAGAGGCTCTGCTGCTGCTGGGGAGCAGAGAAGGGCCTTCTGAGTGGGGGTACCTAAAAGATGGAACTCTTTGTTCCACGAGGTTTGGAAGGACTCCTCTCAGAGTGTTTTGCCATTTGCTGAAAACCTCTCCATTTCAGGCAGGTACTTCTTTTATCAGGAGCACATGGCTTCCACCACAGAATCCTGGGAACCCATCACAATTCCCAACTACCTTAACAAACTACAGCTGCCAGGATTTTTTGGGAGGTAAGACATGAGTTTTTCATTTGCATTGTGGCCTATTTTTATGCTTGGCTTCAAATGATTGTTAAGGCACCCTGAGTAGCTCATCAGGAGACAGCAGACAAATCTTTGCCAAAGAACCAAAAGAAGCAAGACTCACCTGGGGACCTGCGCAGCTGATCTTGCAGATCTCACAGTAGTGAAGCTGAGGCTGTTTGGGGGGCCCCTTGGGCTTGAGCGGCTTGCTGGGGTACTGGGGCCTCTTGGTGTAGCTGCTGGTGGAGTTGCTGCTGCCTCCGTCGCTCCACAGTGAGCCCCCCATGGGCTTGAGCTGCTGCTGCGTGGGAGGCAGGGGCTGCTGCGGCGGCTGCTGCACGAGCGACGGCTGGGGGGGGCTGGTAGTAGGAAGCGCTGGCTGCCGCGTACGCAGTGGCATCATAGTTGGAGTAGTTTGACCCTGGAGAAAGAAGACCTCCTGTTGATGCACGACGAGCAAAGCAGGGGCAGGCAACAGCCATTCCAACTCCCCTGAGTCCCAGCCAGCCTGACTAGCCAGCAGGTGACCTGGAGCCCAGCAACTTCTGGAGGGCCACAGGTTCCCCAGCCCTGCTCTAAGAAACAGCAGTTCTTTGCTGCCGGTACTTAGAAGAGGCACTGTCTCCTGAGAAAGGGGATGTTTCCTAGAGCAGGGATGAGGAAACAGGTCAGTGTTGTTGAGACTACCAACTCCCATCAGTTGCAGCCGGCACGGTCAATGACAATGGGGATTGGGGCCACACAGGCTCTGCACCCTTGCGGTAAAGGAAGTGGGAAAGAGGAAGCAAGGCCTTTGAGAAGCTCTTACCAGAGTAGGATGCAGGAGAGGAGGTGTAGGAGGAAGAGGAAGGGGCGTACGACTGGATGGAGGAGGCAGAGATGTTCTGCTGGCATGTCGTGGAGGCTGGGTAGGCGCTATAGGATGAGGAAGCAGTCACAGTCTGGACGGGCTTAACGGGGGTCACTTGTCTCTGGGGCTGGCTTGGACTGTACACGGCCGCAGGCTGGCTGTAGCTGCTCTGGGAGTCTACGAAGAACAGAGAGCAGTCGCTGAAGACCAGAGAGCAGCAGGCGACTCCTGCCCAGATTCTGCCTGCCTGAGCTCCTTGGGCTTTGCCTGGCTTCCATCCAACTAAATTCTGCTCGGAGGAGACCCAGTGAAACGGAAGAACATGACTAAGAGCCATTCATTTCAATGAGGCTAGAGAACAGCTAACATACAATCCTTCATTTCATTTGCCTGACCAGACTCCTCAGCAACAAGGAACAGCAACATATAAATAAACCACCTTATTTTATTTATTTTATTTCTATCCTCTCTTTCTCCCAGTGCGGGACCCAAGGCAGCTCCCAGCACAAATCTAAACAAGCACACAAATATAAATATTAAAAAACGGTTAAATAAGCAACCCTTTAAAAATGCAGTGCTGAAACATTTAAAACCCTTTGAAAGCACACACAAAATCCCAACAACATTCAGCCTCAGAAGACCATCCACAACAGCCAGTTGGTGGCAAAAGGCATGGCAAAATAAAAGTCTTTGCCTGCTGGCAAAAGGAAAGCAGATGGAGACCTAGCCTAGCCAACTAGGCTGAAGTGAGTTCCACAGTCTGGGAGCAGCCACCAAGAAGGCCTTGCCTCATGTCCTCACCAAACATGCCTGTGAAGGTGGAGGAACTGGAACACGCCTCCCCCAAAGATCTCAAAGCCCAAGCAGGCTCATATTGGGAGAACCGCTCCTCCAGACAGCTTCAAACCTGTATGAACTGTTTACAAAGGAGTAATTGCACTCATCTTTATTCCAACACAAAGTGAACTTCTTGGTTCTATTAAACCAGCTTAAAAGCAGCGTGAGATTGCAGTGCAGGACAGCTCTAGTGGCTCAGGAAGGGGGCAGCTTAAGATGACCCCCATCGCCATGGCTGCTTCCCAAACCTTCCCCGTTACCAACACAGCTGTTACTGGAAACTACTTCACAAATGCTTCCACAAGCCTCTAGTATTCTGAACACGCCTGAACAGTGATATTGTGTTTGTGTAGGTGACCTCACTCGAGTGGTGGTGCGAGTCCGTGGCCACGTGTTGGGGCTGCGTGACCACCGTCTGGTAATATGGTTTGGTCTCATAGCCGCCTGCTGTTGGGGATCGGCCGTAACTGTAGCCATCCTGCCAAAACAAAACTTGGCTGTCAATAAGCAGGTGAGGGCAACACAAGCCGGCCGGATGCCTTCCACAGGGCGACCCATAACCCAGAGTATCTTTTGGCTGATAGGAGCCTTTTCTGGGTGGCTTATTTAAGGTAGCTTAAATATTGGGGGGCAGAAAAGCCAGGGACACTTTTACACACCTTCAATTGATTCCTCCTAAGACAGGGATGGAGACGTTTGTATCCTCCCAGGTGTTGGAGCTCCCAATTTAGTGCAGCAACATCTGGGGAATGCTAGAGACATCACTGTGGCTCTCTCATTCCACTCAAGCAAAGGGAGCAGTCCGGGATCTACATGGAGGCCCCCAGCCTCATTGAAGGTGATGCCTGATGACTCCTGAAGTTGCCCTATTATTCCATCCCATCAGAAGTCCTTCCTTTCTGTTTGTTTCCTCCATATTCCCCTGCAATGCAGTTTCTGACCAGCTGGAGGAGGCAGTATATTAATTGTAAAAATAAATAGATGCTTTAAAAAAAAAGTTATCCCAGGTTGTACTGCTTGGGGAAAGATTCAGGTAGGTAGCCGTGTTGGTCTGACGCAGTTGAAATATATAAAAAAATTTAAAAAATTGTCCAGTAGCACCTTAGAGACCAACTAAGTTTGTTCTTGGTATAAGCTTTCGTGTGCATGCACACTTCTTCAGGTCCACTTCTTCAGATGCTTGGGGAAAAGAATTCTCCCCCTAGCTGTTCTGAGAACAAATTTATAGCTTCAATCATACCCATATAGCTATGTGTGTGTGTAGCCCACTAAAGTCAGAAAGGAATTGATTTCACTTGCTCTCCAAAACAGTTGCTGTATTGGTCCATTGGGTAAGCCGGCCAGAGTGGTTGAGGAAACCCAGCCAGATGGGTGGGGTATAAATAATAAAATCATCATCATTATTAAGGCATTTATATGTTAGCAAAGGTGTATGAGGTGTTAGGGGAGGGGTAGTACCTTTGTGGGGGACACATCATGCTCCTTTGGTGCCCCCCCCTGCACTCAGCTCTCACCTGCGGCTCCTAGAAGCTGTCAGTATGTGACAATTCTGGGCACCACAATTTAAGAAGGATATTGACAAGCTGCAGCGAGTGCAGAGGAGGGCAACCAAGATGATCAAGGGGTCTGGAAACCAGGCCTTATGAGGAACGGTTGAAGGAGTTGGGGATATTTAGCCTGGAAGAAAGGAGACAAGAAAGGAGATTCCGACTCAACATCAGGAAGAACTTTCTGACAGGAAGAGCTATTTGAGAGTGGAACGGACTCCCTTGGGAGGTAGTGGACTCTCCTTCCTTGGAGATTTTTAAGCGGAGGTTGGATTGCCATCTGTCAGGGATGCTTTAGATGAGATTCCTGCATCGCAGTGGGTTGGGATACCTTCTAAGTCTACGATTCTATGACAACAGCCACACCCTGTGAAAGAGCCTTGACTGGCTGGTTAAACCAGATGAGGGTAGCTAATAGGCCTCAAACCCCTGGCCAGTTAGGGCCTTCCCCTGCACGTCAAGACAGGCTCCAGCAGATTAAGTGGACAAGACCAAGAGGGGGTCAGATGGAGGTTTTTGCATGTGTTGTAGAGGGAAGTGAAGGGCAGGTGGTGCTTGTACACCTGGGAACGGAGCCCATCTAGAAGAAGTAAAACCCTGATCCAAAACCTCCACTGCCTCGAGGGATATCTTCGGGAGAAGTAAAACCTACACAAATCTGAAGTGGAGTCTCTAAGACAATTGGATGGCACCTTGTACACCTCCTTCCAGCAACTCCTGCAGCCAAATGTATTGGTCTGCTTTCCTTTGGACCCCATCAGCGACAGCAAGAAGGGGGTCTTGTTGTCTGGGCAGCCCAGGAACCCCAGAACCACTGACCAGGCTTGCGCCCCAGGGAGGTCACTTTGATGCTGCTAACACGGCGTTCAGACTTCACCCCCAGAGTGGCAATCCCTTGTCTCTCGAGACAGATGGATGCCAGTAACAGCAATCCCTTGTCTCTCAAGACAGATATATTAGCATGACTAAGTTGTTTTCTTAAAAACCAACCATGTGAAGAATAAAACAAAAATTCATCATAAAACCAAATAATCTGAAACACTACATTAAAATGCCTGCTGGAATATGGAAGTCTTTGCCATGTGCCTTAAGTTCAGCAAGGATGATGCGTATTTCATCTCAGGTGGGATGGAGTTCCACAGACTTGGGCCCAAAACACTGAATTAATGGCTTCTGGTCATTGTATGCCATGCGGGATCACCAACAGAGACTCCTCCAAAGATCCCAGGGATCACTAATGGGTCAGCTGATCCTTAAAATAACCTGGACCCAAGTTGCTAAGGGCCTTGGAAATGAATACAAGAACTAAAACAGACATTGTCCAGCCCCAGCCAGCACAGCTCTTTGTCAAGCCTCGTTGAAACAAGGATACAGACTAGACGTGTTTAGAATGGTCAGATTCCAACCCCTTTTGTACTTATGGCGAACACTCACTATTCCCCCTCTCCCACAATTATATGTATATTAGACACATAAAACATGCACTGCAACAGCTTTGTAAAGAAGCCCACAAAGGTTATAAGTCTGAAAAAAATATTAGCCTACAGGGGACTGGATGAGCATGGAGGAGGTCTTCCTTCTTCCAGCAGACCACCAGATGAAGGATGGGCGTCCTCCCCCTCCCCTGCCAACCTGCTCACTAACCTGCATGGAATTTATTGACACCTATGGGAGGGAGAAGAAAAGCTTCAGGAGTAAACCCGGCACAAATCTGGAGTGGAGTCCCTAAGACAGTAGGATGGTGCCCTGTACAACAGCTGGTGCCCAACGTCTTGCTCTGCTTTCCTTTTGATCCCATCAGGGAAGCAAAAAAAGGGGGGGGGTCTTCTCATCTGGGCTGCCCAGGACTTCCAGATGCTCTGGCCAGGCTTGTGTGCCAGGGAAGTCACTTTGGTGCTGTTAACGCAGCAGTTTGCAAAGAGCTCCCCCCACCTTGTTCTCCTTTTACACACACAATGGAGGAGCATATAAAGCAGTCTCTGTCGTCTGAAGTGGTGCAGCCCCTCCTCCCACCTCATTCTACTGCACATATGGGATCCTGGGACAATGCACACTTTGGACCCCACAATGAAATATGATGGAAAGGCTCACTATTGCCATTCCGTTCTCCTGAAAGTCAGCTGCTCGTTATGGCCAAACCTGACCACCCAGTGCCAGAGGTTCCTGCCACCAGTGGTAAGGGTGCCCCGGTGGGAGACCTGCTGGAGGAGGAGGTGGTAGTGGAGCCATCCTACAGTCCTCAAGAACACTGGCACCAAAAGGTCCTGGCCAAAGAGCAGCAACAGAATGTGGACTCACACAGTCATCACACAGATCTGGAGGAATCAACCCAGGAACTTATTTGCCACCAGCAGCTGCAGTTAGGCTTTGGTCCGTGTGGTGGGGACTAGCTCACAAAATGTGTGCCTCTTGCAAGAAACAACACAGATCTCTGGCTCCTGATTCTGGGTCCTTCCCCCACCTCCTTCCTGTGTTGCCCCTTGCCCGGACTTACAGCTGAACGATTCCCCGGACCTGGCCATGGCTTGCTGAGGTAATGCCACACTGTGCATCCCATTCTCTTGGGAAGTGTTTGGGACTGAGACCCTAGACCCAGAGAACACCCCACGGAGCAGGACAATTAGAAAACACCAGTATGCAAAATACTTTTATTCCAGCCCCTAAAATATCAGGCAAGGGGCACCTGTGGCCCTCACTCCCATCATTCCTAGATATTTGGAATCAATGTTGTAGCAGGGGTCTGGAGTCTAACAACATCTGCAGGGCCGCTAGTTGCCTCCCCTGTGTTAAACCCAACCCACCGATGTGAGGATACTGATTAGCAGCTACCTGATAGTTCTGGGCGACAGTTGGCTGGGGGGTTGGCTCTGGTTGCCGCGTCCCATAACCGTAGTCTTGCGTTGACGGTGGCTGGTAGCCCCCATATGCTGCAGGTGCCACAGACCTGGCTGCCTGTATAGCTGGAGTATAGGCGGGGGGCACAGCGTGCTCTATCGCAGGGCTCTGCTGGACTGTGTAGCTGGCTGCTGTCGCGGGATGGCAGTAAGCTGGAGCAGGCTGGGCACTGAAAAGGAAGACGACAAGTGAGAGACTGATGAGGTTGGAAAAAAGTGGTGGCCGCTAAGGGAAAATGGCACTGCGGTCGTCTGCAAGCGATTCCTACATAGCCAGGTTGGAGTTGCCAGGCTTCGTGTCGCGTACAACTTCAATAATCCTTATTTTCCATGCAATCTTGGGCTGATGGGATTTATAGTCCAAAACATCTGGAGGGCACCAGGTTGGGCAAATTTCAGAAATGTGGATGTCTGTCCTCTCAGCTGCCCTCTCTTTCTTACCATAATTGGAGGAGGGGGGAGAGGGAGAAGGGGCGCCAGCATCAGCCTACTTGGCAGGGCTGCTGCACCGGCAGCTGAAGCCAGCGCATGCCCAGCATTGCGGAAATCTGTCCTGCCAGCCTCCTTTCCCCCTTCTGACCCGAACGGGGAGGAGAAGGGGACTGCGATGCCCCCCCCGGCCTACCTGCCAGGCTTGCTGGGAAGAGCCGCTCCGGCCCCAGCCCCCCCCCGCCGGCCCACCTGGCCGGGCTGTTGTGCAGGAGCAAGGAGCAGCGCGCCGAGGAGGAGGCGGGGCGCGTCCAGACCCCTCCCCCGGCCGCCCTGGCCCCTCAGGCGCAGCCCCTGCTCCCCACCTACCTGTACGGGGCTCCGGCGCCGGCCGCGAAGCCGTAGTAATTGCTGGCCGCCATCTTGGCGTCTCCGCTGGGCGACCGGGGGGAGAAGCGGCGGGGGGGGGGAGCGCGCGAGGCACGCCGGGAAACGGGCGACGCGCGAGCGAGCCGGCCGGCATCCGAGCGTGCGTGTGACGTGGCTCCGCCTCTCTCAGCAAGAAGCCCCGCCCCTCCCAGGTCGGCTTTGACCGCGACTCTCAGAGGAGTCGAAAGGGGGCACCTCGAGGACCATGTCGCCTTGGGCAGCTGCTTCTCCATAGCAGCCATGGCCTCCAAGGAAAAGAGGGACGTCCCGCTTCTCAATAATAATAATGAAATGAAGAAAGTTCATTGGAAGTCTACATGTTAAAACAGGGCGGATGTTGCCGCCTGGGCCAGAGGCAGTCTACCTGGGCTGCTTCTGAGGGAGCTTGGAAGCAGCGCTCAGGGAAACGCTGCGAGGAGGAGGAGAAAAAGGAGAAGCTAATAATGAGGATAATCATTAATAATGATGATGATGAGAAAGCAGAGAAAGACCCAGGCCCCTCATGCACTGTTGGGACTCCTCCGGGAGGGCATTTGGGGGGCCCCTCCGGCCTTCCTTCTTCGCAGGGACCCTCAACGAGGCGCCCACTTCACGAGGGAGACCAGCGCCACCCAACGGCAGGCTAGGTCCCACTGCCCTCAACCAACATGGCGGCGGTGGCGCGTCTTTTGCCCTTTCTTTCCGCCTCCGGTCCGTTTCCCTCTTTCCCGTCATGCTCCGCTCCCCCCCCCCCCCCCCCAGCGCACGCGCCCAGCAACCACAGCAACAAGAAAAATCTCGGCAGCGATAGGTCGGCCTTTTGGCCAATCCCAGGTCGGGTTGTGGGCGGGCCAGTCTTTTGGCGCCTTTTCTCCTCAGCGTCTCCCGCGCCCTTGACGTGAAGGAAGCTGGTAAGTTTTGTCGTCTTTGTAATACTGTATTCTGTTGGGAGCCAGCAATAATAAAGGATTATCATCATTGATTTTTAAATTATTACTTTTGTTATTATTATAAAAGGCTTAGGGAAGTTTGCAACTATTATGTTGTGTCGTGTTTTTAATCTGTTGGGAGCAGCCCACAGAGGCTGGGGAAGGGTAATATATTATGATCATCATTAATTTTTAAATTGTTACCGTTATTATTATAGTTGTTCTTACTATAAAAGGGTTAGGGAAATTTGTAGTATATTATGTTTTATCATTTTTTAAAATATTCTTTTGGTGGCTGGGAAATATTATCATTAAATGTTAAATTATTGCAGTGGAAGGAAGAATCAAGTGGGAAAGGAGCCAGCAGACGACTAAATGGAAGAAATGTGCTTTTCTTCTTTATTTTTTCTGAGTCACTTTTCCAAAAATCATATACCGGTAATGGTGCATTTAGCTGGAAGGGGCCCCAAGGGTCATCCAGTCCAACCCGCTGCAAGGCAGGAATCTGCGAAGGAACCACAAGGGTTCAATTATTATTATTATTAATAATAATAATAATAAGTGGAGGAATTGGGATCTGGGGGAATTAGCTGGTTACAAAACCAAGCAGTGCTTCATCTGCACAATACACTGTTCAGGTCCAGTTTCTGATACATTAAAGGCAGCCTGAGGGGGAAAGCAATGGAGATCTGAACTTTTATTTTATATAAATAATAATAATTATTATTATTATCACAGCCAGTTCCTCTGGAGTTGCTGTAGCCAAGGGGAGCTCGCCCCCCCCAATTCAAATAAATAAAAATACTATAGTGCTAAGCCTTAGGGGGGAAGAGGCCGTGTCCCACTTGGGTGGGTGTGATTAATAATAATAATAATAATTTTACATTTAATGTAGTAATAATTTTTTACTCTTTCCCAGCCACCAACAGAATATTTTAAAAAAACGATAAGACAATATACTACAAACTTTCCTCACCCTTTCAACAGACTAACCATTATAATAATGATAGCAACTTATAAATGAAGGATAATCCTCATTTATTCCCCTTCTCCAGCCACTCTCAACAGAATATTAAAAACGCGACAAAACATACTATATTGCAAACTTTCCTAAGCCTTTTCTAATAATAAAAATAATTGAAAAAGTAATGCTAATAACCCTTGATTGCTGTTTCCCAGTAGGAAAAGGCGCCCAAAGGGCGTGGGACACAGCTGAGGAGAAGCAGCTGAGAAACAGCTGGGAGAAAACGCGGGAAACCGCTGGCCCCGCCCACCGCCCGGCCTGGGATTGGCCCAAAGGCCGACCTATCGCCGTCGAAGGCCCTCCATCAAAATGGCGGCGGTGGCGCCTCTTCTGCCCTTTCTTCCCCCCTCCGGCCCGTTTCCCTCTTTCCAGTCCCCTTGCCCTCGTCCAAAATGGCCGCCCTAGGAACGCCCTCGCTCGCGGCGATAGGTCGGCCTTTGGGCCAATCCCAGGTCGGGCTGTGGGCGGGGCCAGGCCTTGGGCGCGTGTTCTCAGCGTTTCCCTCGCCATTTTCGTGAAGGCAGCGCGTGAGTTTGGTCGTGCTTTTAAGACTGTCTTCTGTTGGGAGCGGGCGGGAAATAATAATAAAGGATTATCACAATTGATTTTTCAATTATTATTAGTATCATTATTAGAAAGGCTTGGTTGAAGTTTGTAATATATTACGTTTTGTCGAATATTTTAATATTCTGTTGGGGAAGGGGAATAAATGAGGATTATCCTTCATTTTTAAATTGTTAGCATTATTATAATGGTTCTTATTATAAAAGGGTTAGGGAGATTTGTAGTATACTAAGTTTTATCGCTTTTAAAGTTTTCTGTGGCTGGCTGGGAAAGAGTAATACATTATTATTATCGTTAATTTTTAAATTATTGTTTTTATTATAAAAAGCTGAGGGAAGTTTGTAGTATATGATGTTTTATCGTTTTTTAAAAATTTCTGTTGGTGGCTGGGAAAGAGTAATTCATTATTATTATTAATAATAATAATTTATTAATAATGAGTTAAAGTTAAATTATTTTTATTATAAATTACACCCACCCAAGTGGGACACGGCCTCTTCCCCCCTAAGCCTTAACATTATAGTATTTTTATTTATTGGAATTGGGGCAGGAAGCTCCCTTGGCTGCAGCAACTCCAGAGGAACTGGCTGTGAGTTCAGATCTCCATTGCTTTCCCCCTCAGGCCGCCTTTAATGTCTTGGAAACTGTACCTGAACAGTTTGTTGTTCAGATGAAGCACTGCTTGAAGCGGTGCTTTGTAACCAGCTAATTCCTCAAGATACTAATTCTTTCACTTATTACTATTTTTATTATTATTAAATGAACCCTTGTGGTTCCTTTGCATACTCCTGTCTTGCAGCGGGTTGTACTGGAAGACCCTTGGGGTCCCTTCCAGCTAGATGTACCATTATATGATTCTTGGGAAAGTGCTTCAGAAAGAATAAACAAGAAAAAATCAAGAAGAAAAACAAATTTCTTCCAGTTAGTCGTACGCTGGCTCCTTTCCCACTTGATGCTTTCTTCCACTGCAATCTGGGCTGGACATATTATATGTTTGCTTTGACATGGATCCCTCTTTCCCTGCTTGTGAAAATAATTGACATTATTGATATTTCTTAGGTCTGCTCTGCTGAATTCCTGTTCTGAAAAGGAGGAGGAGGAGGAAATGATGAAGGGAGAAGAGGAGATGGAGGAAAAGTCATGAAGGTAAAAGGTAAAAAATAGAAAAACATATCAATATATAACATTTAAGAACATTTTTAAACAACCCCACTCCTGATATATCACACCCACCCAAGTGGGGCTTGGCCTCATCCCCCCTAACCACCACAGTACAGTAAAAATACAGTAAAATAATTTTATTTATTTGATTGGGGTAGGCCAGCACCTCCTGGCTTCACCCATGTTGGTGAGGTTTGTCTCCTATTCCTTTTCTTGTTAGGCTATCTAAAGGTGACAAAGCAATGTGTTGAAAACTTAATTTCTTCAGATGAACCATTGCTTTAACCAGGTAATTACTCAAGGCACCGATTCTTTCACCTATCGATTTATCCACATAATCCAACCGGAGAATAATTAGCATCCCAAAGTGGTACACTTGCACGTTAAATCTTAAGATAAATGTTTTGGAAGAGGCATAAATTAAAAAAGATAATTAATTTGCAAGCAAGCCCAGTGAATTAGAGAAGGCAGTGAGCTGGCTTTGTCTAATGGAGCATCCCAAAACCCAGTTTGGGTCTAGAAGACCCAGTTTGCCGCCTCCCCCCAGCCTTCATGGCAACCCTTCATTACTTTCTGTTTGATTTTTTGAGCAGATACTCTGAATTGAACACCACAAAAATAAATGGGGATCAGCCCCTGCTGTAGTGGCCAGCACTAGAAGCCGTTTGAGTAATTCAGATCAATAAAGTCGGAATAGTTAATATTTACAAACCAGCAACTTCACACCAGTTTTGGACATTTGCAGCAGCTTGCAATGTTAAGAGAGGTGCTCTGCTCTAAAGAAAAGCACTTTCCACATTTATGAGCCTTCAGAGTAGGCTCATGGTTTTTCCTTTGCCAGGAGGTATAAATGTTGTTAGCATATGTGCAATCACCCAAGAACTTCAGGCCTGCTCCTGACTGTCGAAATGCTCCTGGAGAGGCTGTAAGCAGCCCTTCCTCTGCTCTCAGTCAGCAAAAGGGGATGGCAAGGGGGGCTTCATGGCGTAAATTAACTTGCTGCTGCAGGAGAAGTGTGGATCCCTCAGCCATGCACAAATCCCTGCCTTGTAGCAGGTTGGACTGGATGACATTTGGGGTCCCTTCCCAATATATACTCAACCACTCACCCAACATCATATGATTCTTTGGAAAGTGCTTCAGAATACAGTTGGGGTGTGTGTGTTTCTTTGTGTCAGCCCTTAAAAATCAACTGTGCAATGTGCACTACAGCAGGGGCGAAGCAAAGATTTAAGACTCTCCCCCGCTATGCACATAGGCTGGGAGCCCCAATGGCACAAGACTAAGTGGGCTGAGACCCTGCAACAGGGGCCAAAACCAAAAGCCAATTGAATCGTTTACATTGACAAATACTGGCACGTATGTATGCATTTTGGAAATTTGCAGCAGTTTGTAATGTTAAGTGTGGTGTTCTAAAAAAAAAGCACTTTATACACTCATGAGCATTCCCTTAGAGCAGGCTCATGGTTGTTTCCTTTTCTGGAGATATACATGTTCTCAGCAGATGTACAATCCCCCCGAAGGCTTCAGGCCTCCTCCTGACTGTTGAAATGCTCCTGGGGAGACTGTAAGCAGCACCTCCTCCGCTCCCAGTCAGCAAAAGGGGATGGCAAGGGGTGCTTCATGGCGCAACTTGCAGCTGCAGTTTAAATTGCCATAAAAGTGCCATTTCATAGGGCAACCATGACAGCACAACCAAGGTTAGTGGTTATTCTCCTGCATATTCCTGCCTTGCAGTGGGTTGGGCTGGATGACCCTTGAGGTCCCTTCCAGTTAGATATATACACTATCATATGATTGTTTGGAATGTGCTTCAGAAATAACCAGAAATAGCATTCCTTTAAGTTAGTTGTATGATGGCAAAGGTGCCTCATTTTTGGCTGTGACACCTAACAAGTTAAATGCTAACACCTTTTGGTACTGTGAACACCAAGGTTGCAGGGGAATCTCCATAAGGGACGCCTGCATATTCCTAAGAGCTGGAAAGTGCCACACAAAGAAGAAACAGAAACATACCTCCAGGTTAGTTGTATGATGGCCAACTACTTAGTCATGTTTTGCCACATGACCTGGAAGCTGTACACTGGCAAATAAAGCGAGATGTGTGGAGCAACCCCAGAGTCGGCCACGACTGGACCTAATGGTCAGGGGTCCCTTTACCTTTGACAAAGGTCAGAAGTTGTAAGTCTGCTGTTGTAAGTCTAGGGGTTTGGGTTTGGGTTTTTGTTAGGGTCAGGGTTCGGGAGAGGCTTGGAGTTAGGCTTAGGGGTCAGGGTCTCCCCCTGACTGTTGAAATGCTCCCAGGGAGGATGTAAGTAGAACTTCCTCTGTTTCCAGTCAAGAATAGTGGATGGCTATGTTTGCTTCCTAAGTAGCCTTCAAAGGTTGCAGGATTGTTCCCCGTAAGGGACTCCTGCATGTTCCTGCGATGCAGCGGGTTGGACTGGATGACCCTTGGGGTCCCTTCCAGAGGTTTATATACCATCATTATTCTTTGGAAAGGGCTTCAGAAAGAAGAGAGAGAAATAGCGTTCTTTACAGTTAGTTGTATGATGGGATAGTCACTTCGCTTCCTGTAAGCATCTTTATCATTCCTTGCACATTAATCTGAGCTTGGCAGATCCTGTGCCTGTTTTGACACGGACCCCTCTTTCAGTTCTTGAAATAATCCACCCCCCTGATATTTCTCAGGTCTCAAAGGGCTGTGCTGAATTCATTCTCCCAAAAAGGGGGAGGACAAGGAAGGGGGAAGTTTCGCCGAACAGAGGGAGGGGGAAGAGGGGATCTTTTCAGACCAGATGCCAGTGCCCCAAAGGTGCCAGTGCCAGGGCCCTCCTGATGCTGCCTTTTGGGGCGAGAGCAGGAAAGGGGATCTTTGGGCACAAGATCCAAACAGCTCCTTCAACCAAACACTTGATTCACCAGCAGCGTGGCAGCCAAAGGACAAAGAAGAAAAAGAGGCAAGGCAGCTCCCAGGCATCTCCATGAAGTTACAAAAGGCAGCTACATCTGCCTAAGTGCACTTCCATCCACTGGAAAAGATTCTTAGCAGCAAGGAGCAAAGGGAATGGTGGGCAGTATCTAGCTATCTCTCTAAATGGGTAAGACCGCACAGTCCATACACCTCCACACGGCCTGGTCCTGTCCAGAGGTGCAGCCTGCCTTCTCCAAAGGTGGATTTCAGCTCAAACAGCTGGGTGAAGTCTCTGTTTTTCTCTCCTCACACCCGTAACCCTGGCAACCTCCCAGAGAACACACTCTATTCCTCGATGGTTAGGGAGATTGCACTTTCCCACGGTCTGTCAAAAAAATTGAATCCTTAGCATTTAATACTGTCTTAATACAGTTTGGGGGTGGTTGTGTCAGCCCTTAAAAATCAACTGCAAAGATTGAAGACTGTCCCCCCCGCTATACACATAGGCTGGGAGCCCCAATGGCACAAGACTAAGTGGGCTGAGCCCTGCAACGGGGGCCAAAACCAAAAGCCAGTTGAATCACTTACATTTACAAGTCATGTACATTGATTACATTTACATTGACAAATACTGGCACGTATTTGTATGCGTTTTGGAAATTTGCAGCAGTTTGTAATGTTAAGAGAGGTGTTCTAAAGATAAGCACTTTATACGTTCATGAACATTCCCTTGGTGCAGGCTCATGGTTTTTTCCTTTTCTGGAGGCATAAATGTTCTTAGCAGATGTACAATCCCCCTGAAGGCTTCAGGCCTCCTCCTGACTGTTGAAATGCTCCTGGGGAGACTGTAAGCAGCACCTCCTCCGCTCCCAGTCAGCAAAAGGGGATGGCAAGGTGTGCTTCATGGCGCAACTTACAGCTGCAGTTTAAAGTGCCTTAAAAGTGCGATTTCATAGGGCAACACTGACAGCACAACCAAGGTTGGTGGTTCTCCTGCATATTCCTGCCTTGCAGTGGGCTGGGCTGGATGACGCTTGGGTCCCTTCCAGATACAGATATAAATGCAGGGTCATATGATTCTTTGGAATGTGGTTCAGAAAGAATAAACAGAAATAGCATTCCTTTAAGTTACGGGACGCGGGTGGCACAGGGGTCCCTTTACCTGAAGTAGGCTTCAAAATGCCATTTAAGAGGGCAAATTTTGCTGCATAACCAAGGTTGCGGGATTGTTCCCCGTAAGGGACTCCTGCATGTTCCTGCGATGCAGCGGGTTGGACTGGATGACCCTTGGGGTCCCTTCCAGAGGTTTATATACCATCATTATTCTTTGGAAAGGGCTTCAGAAAGAAGAAAGAGAAATAGTGTTAAATGTTCTTAGCTTATGTACGATCCCCCCGAAGGCTTCAGGCCTCCTCCTGACTGTTGAAATGCTCCTGGGGAGACTGTAAGCAGCACCTCCTCCGCTCCCAGTCAGCAAAAGGGGATCGCAAGGTGTGCTTCATGGCGCAACTTGCAGCTGCAGTTTAAATTGCCATAAAAGTGCCATTTCATAGGGCAACACTGACAGCACAACCAAGGTTAGTGGTTATTCTCCTGCATATTCCTGCCTAGCAGCTGGTTGGGCTGGATGACCCTTGGGGTCCCTTCCAGATATAGATACATATATGCAGCACCATATGATTCTTTGGAATGTGCTTCAGAAAGAAGAAACAGAAGTAAGTTGTATGATGGCAATGTTGCCTCACCTTAGGCTGTGTCACCTAACAGTTAATGGTACTGTGAACACCAAGGTTGCAGGGGGATCTCCATAAGGGACGCCTGCATATTCCTAAGAGCTGGAAAGTGCCACACAAAGAAGAAACAGAAAAACATACCTCCAGGTTAGTTGTATGATGGCCAACCACTTCCCCTTCCTTGCCAGCTAGTTTATTCTTTCTTGCATAGCAATACAAATGATGGATGCCTGTTTTATACTCCTACTCTTTCAGTTCATCTGAAAGAAATCAGGCCCACTTATAGTTCTATGTATGGGCTGTGCTTCGTTCCTTAATGTCAGATTTTGTGGATTTATTATCACCCATATGTTTCGGGCACAAGCCTATTTACTCATGGAAAAGGAAAGGTTGGGGGGAAACGAGGGTTCCTGAAGTAAGTGGGCTTCCTTGCCCCACTTCAGGGCAGAAGGGGGAGATGGAGAGAACGCTCTGCCTTTAACGAAACACCTGATTCGCCCAGCAGCGTGGCAGCCAAAGGAAAGAGAAGAAAAAGAGGCAAGGCAGCTCCCAGACAAATGTGCAAATATGGGTTGCCTGTATGGGCTCTGTTTTATTCCTTAATGTCGAATGCTACATTTGCCTAAGTCCTCTTCCATCCACTGGAAAAGCTTCTTAGCAGGAAGGAGCAAAAGGAACTGTGGGAAATACCTAGGAATCTCTCTAAATGGGTAAGACCGCACAGTCCCTACACCTTCACAAGACCTGGTCCTTTCCAGAGGTGCAGCCTGCCTACTCCAAAGGTGGATTTCAGCTCAAACAGCTGGTTGTCCCTCCAAAAAATGGAAACCTTAGCATTTAGTAATGTCTTAATGCAGTTGGGGGAGGTGTTTGTGTGTGTCAGCCCTTAAAAATCAACTGTGCAAAGATTTAAGACTGTCTCCCGCTATGCATATAGGCTGGGAGCCCCAATGGCACGAGTAAGTGGGCTGAGCCCCTGCAACAGGGGCCAAAACCAAAAGCCAGTTGAATCATTTACACTGACAAATACTGGCACAGATGTATGCATTTTGGAAATGTGCAGCAGTTTGTAATGTTAAGAGAGGTGTTCTAAAGAAAAACACTTTATACACTCATGAGCATTCCCTTAGAGCAGGCTCATGGTAGTTTCCTTTTCTGGAGGCATAAATGTACTTAGCAGATGTACAATCCCCCTGAAGGCTTCAGGCCTCCTCCTGACTGTTGAAAAGCTCCTGGGGAGACTGTAAGCAGCACCTCCTCCGCTCCCAGTCAGCAAAAGGGGATGGCAAGGTGTGCTTCATGGCGCAACTTGCAGCTGCAATTTAAATTGCCTGAAAAGTGCCATATCATAGGGAACACTGACAGTACAACCAAGGTTGGTGGTTCTCCTACATATTCCTGCCTTGCAGTGGGTTGGGCTGGATGACCCTTGGGGTCCCTTCCATATATAGATATATATGCAGCATTATACGAATCTTTTGAATGTGCTTCAGAAAGAAGAAATACTAATAGCATTCCTTTAAATTATGCGGGTGGCACTGTGGGTTAAACCACAGAGCCTAGGACTTGCCGATCAGAAGGTCGGCGGTTCTAATCCCGCGACGGGCTGAGTTCCCGTTTCTGGGTCCCTGTTCCTGCCAACCTAGCAGTTCGAAAGCACGTCAAAGTGCAAGGAGATAAATAGGTACTGCTGCGGCGGTAAGGTAAACGGCGTTTCCGTGTGCTGCTCTGGTTCGCCAGAAGCAGCTTAGTCCTTCTGGCCACATGACCCGTAAGCTGTACACCGGCCAATAAAGCGAGATGCGTGCCGCAACCCCAGAGTCTGCCACGACCGGACCTAATGGTCTGGGCTCCCTTTACCTTTGACAAAGATCAGAAGTTGTAAGTCTGCTGTTGTAAGGTTTGGGTCATTATTAGGGTCGGGGTTAGTCACCTCGTTTTCTGTGAGTTACCGTATTATTCCTTGTACATTAATTTGAGCTTGGCAGATCCTGTGCCTCCTTTTACACGGACCCCTCTTTTAGTTCTTCTGAAAAAAATCTGCCCCCTCCCCCGTTATTTCTCAGGTCTCTAGGGGCCGTTCTGAATTCTTTCTCCCAAAAAGAGGGGAGGAGAAGGATGGGGGAAGTTTTGCCTGACGGAGGGAGAAGAGGGGCGAGAGGGGGAAAGGGTATCTTTGGGCACAAGATCCAAACGTCTCCTTTAACCAAACATCTGATTCGCCCAGCAGCGTGGCCGCCAAAGGAAAGGCAAGAAAAAGAGGCAAGGCAGCTCCCAGACATCTCCATGCAGTTGCAAAAGGTGGGTTGCCTGCATGGGCTCTGCTTTATTCCTAAATGTCGAATGCTACATCTGCCTAAGTCCACTTCCCTCCACCGGGAAAGATTCTTAGCAGCAAGGAGCAAAGGGAATGGTGGGCAGTATCTAGCTATCTCTCTAAATGGGTAAGACCACACAGTCCCTACACCTCCACAAGGCCTGGTCCTTTCCAGAGGTCCAGCCTGCCTTCTCCAAAGGTGGATTTCAGCTCAAACAGCTGGGTGAAGTCTCTCTTTTCCTCTCCTCACACCCGTAACCCTGGCAACCTCCCAGAGATCAGTCTCTATTCCTCGATGGTCAGGGAGATGGCACTTCCCACGGTCTGTCAAAAAATTGAATCCTTGGCATTTAATACTGTCTTAATACAGTTTGGGGGTGGTTGTGTCAGCCCTTAAAAATCAACTGCAAAGATTGAAGACTGTCCCCCCCGCTATACACATAGGCTGGGAGCCCCAATGGCACAAGACTAAGTGGGCTGAGCCCCTGCAACAGGGGCCAAAACCAAAAGCCAGTTGAATCATTTACATTGACAAATACTGGCACGGATGTATGCGTTTTGGAAATTTGCAGCAGTTTGTAATGTTAAGAGAGGTGTTCTAAAAAAAACCCCCGCTTTATACACTCATGAGCATTTCTTTAGAGCAGGCTCACGGTTGTTTCCTTTTCTGGAGGTATAAATGTTCTTAGCATAAGTACAATCACCCGAAGGCTCCTTTACCTTTGACAAAGGTCAGAAGTTGTAAGTCTGCTGATGTATGTGTAGGCGTTGAGGTTTGGGTCATTGTTAGGGTTGGGGTTAGGCTTAGGGGTCAGGGTCAGCGCCTCCCCCTGACTGTTTAAATGCTCGCAGGCAGGATGTAAGCAGCACCTCCTCTGTTTCCAGTCAAGAATAGTGCATGGCCATGTTTGCTTCGTGGATGAACTTGCAGCTGCAGGAGAGGTGTGGATCCCTGAACTATACCTAAGGAGCCTTCAAAGTGCCATTTAAGCGGGCAACTTTTGCTGCACAACCAAGGTTGCAGGATTGTTCCCCGTAAGGGACTCCTGCATGTTCCTGTGTTGCAGCGGGTTGGACTGGATGACCCTTGGGGTCCCTTCCAGAGGTTTATATACTATCATTATTCTTTGGAAAGGGCTTCAGAAAGAAGAGAGAGAAATAGCGTTAAATGTTCTTAGCAGATGTACAATCCCCCCGAAGGCTTCAGGCCTCCTCCTGACTGTTGAAATGCTCCTGGGGAGACTGTAAGCAGCACCTCCTCCGCTCCCAGTCAGCAAAAGGGGATGGCAAGGGGTGCTTCATGGCGCAACTTGCAGCTGCAGTTTAAATTGCCTGAAAAGTGCCATTTCATACGGAACACTGACAGCACAACCAAGGTTAGTGGATCTCCTACATATTCCTGCCTTGCAGTGGGCTGGACTGGATGACCCTTGAGGTCCCTTCCAGATATAGATATATATGTAGCATCATATGATTCTTTGAAATGAGCTTCAGAAAGAAGAAACAGTAAAACATACCTTCCAGTTAGTTGTATGATGGCCAACTACTTCCCCTTCCCTGGTAGCCACTTTATTGTTCCCGTTTTATACTCCTACACTTTCAGTACATCTGAAAGAAATCAGGCCCACTTATATTTCTCTGTATGGGCTGTGCTTTGTTCCTTAGTGTCATTGGGCACAAGCCTACTTAGGCATGGGAAAGGAAACAGACGTAAAAAGCAGGCACATCTCTTATACGTTTCCAACAGAAAAAATAAGAACATGGTAGAGTATTGCTAGCTAACATACTTACAAAATGAGAACAAGGGCAACTTTAGAATGGTTGAATCTGCCTCTCAAAGATTTCTCAAAGAAATCTTCATTAGAAAGACACGCAATCAAAGGTAGCAAAACGACTGACAGAAGGGCGATTTGCGGATTGCAGCGCACACTCAAAGCTCCTTTCCTAGGGTCTTTCTTTTCTAAAACCCCACGTGGAATCGAAACTCAAATTCTGGATTAATTTTAAATTCACCAATGGTCAGCTAGTTTGCTTGGAACAGCTGAGGCTTGTTTGTTCTCAAGACCTTGGATCAAAGATTTCCTCCCTAAATTTCTCAGAGACACACCAGTTCCTTTTCTCCTGTAAGAGGCTTGATAACCCTTGTTCACACAGGGACGCTGCTTAAAAACCAGGTGTTAAATTACTACTAATCACTAACAGCAAAAGAGGCTTGAGCTCAGGGGTCAGCCTCTTTTCTTTTGGCCTTAGGCCCACCCCCGGCCGGCCGTCCATTGTCCTCCCTGGCCGAGGGCGGGTCAAAGGCCAGCTCAAGCAGGTGGGTGGCACCTGCTCAGGTGAGCCTCGCTTGGTGCCGCAAACCCCGTCCACCTGTGGGGAAGGGAGGGCGGATACTCCCAGAGACTGCTAGTCTCCAGCTTAAAGTAACAAGGACACATTCCCCATAAATCCTTTGGCCTTTGGCCTTCCCATAATACTTTCCTTCTACTTGACCAAAGTTGGTCTATTGAAATTTCCTAACTTCACTACACCACCCTAAACCTTTGCAGGTGCCTGTTAGTTAAAGCTAGTTTTTCTTGGACCTGGTGGTTTGTAGGTGCTCAAGTGAATTAGTTACACACCCAAATCAGGACCAGGCTGCGGTGGAAAGTCCAACTCTCATCCTTCCTGCATCTCAAGGGATTCAGTCCTGTGGTTCAGAACTCTGTGTCTCACTCTGCCACTTGGGGATCTGCTACCTGAGGCAGCCACTTCACTTTGCCTTGTAATAGGAATTTTATGGTCTTAGATATATGGCAACGTTCATAACCACACGTACATAGATCAGCACAGGAAAGCCAACCTGGAACCATTTTGATTCCTAAACTGAGCAAATGTTTCTCTGCATGGTCAAAGTGGAAAAGCCTCCCCAGACTCCTCAGGAAATCCAATCAAGTAACCTGCCAGACAGGAGATAAACAAGGACAAGAGAAAAACAACATTTAAATTTCTGTGATGTAGGTGGGATGTATCTGAGGGGTGGTCTTAGGTTGCACCCCTCCTGTAATGTATGCATGATGTTTCTGGGGGGTGGTCTTGATCTACAGGATGGGAATTTCAAAAGTCTTTATAAGCCCTTGCACAACATTTTTGTGGGTCCCCCTCCTCCCCTGCAGGTGAGGGGAGCACCCTGTTGCAACAGATCAATAAAGATCAAGCTTACTAGCTGCTTTGCTTCTCAATATTCTCTGGTTGGCCTCTGTTATTTTCTCCTATCAATAGGGAACCTATGTAAGGACTCTATATGGGCTCTTGGATACCCCATAAGGGAAAAGGGCATTTTTTGTTTACAGCATGAGTCAGCCTTGTCCTTACAACAGCCTCCTGAACAGAATAATTTTTATTCATTTTAAAACATAAGAATCAACATACATTCCACCAAATTTCACCTCTTATACAATCTTTTTGGACTTCCATCAGCCGCTCTGATGATCTCCCATTTTTATCATTTCTTCTGCGTTTCTTAAATTCATATTGCCTTGAATGATCATAACTAACGTCATCCTTTTCGTTCAGTAATGCAAGAATTCAAATTATTCCCCTTACAAAACTTCCTGCAATCTGGTCGTCACAATTACTTTTCAAATAGTCCCTAAATTTACGCCAATCTTATGTGAATCTCTGGTCCCGCCGGTTTCGGATTCTTCCCGTTAGTTTCTCTAGCTCTGCATAGTCCATCCATTTCGTCCTCCAATCTTCTTTCGTCGGCAATTCTTGCTTCCGTTTTTGTGCCAATAATATTCTATCATTGCATACAAAACAGCTTACAATCATTTCTATTTATATCATCCCCTACAATGCCTTCTGGTTTTTTAATGAATGTATATTTCAACATTTTTTCCATCTCATTATATATCATTTCCCAGAGGTTTTTCACCTTTTTTACATTCCCACCACATATGATAAAAAGTTCCTTCTTGCTGGCCCTTCTCTTCCAGAACCGCACTTGACGCCAGGGATTCCTGCTTTCAGGATTTCCTTGCAAAGGAAGATTCCAGCAGGGGATCCCAAGGGAGAAGGTTATTCTTCCTAGTTACCGGCTGCCCCACCCTGCAAGTTGCTTCCACAAAATGCAGGCAGAAATTCCACAGGTTCAGTAGGTGGCTAAATGGTAGGCTCTGGACTCAGGCTTTCCCCGCAGAATGGCACACAGGACAACAAGAAAGTTCTCTTTTTAAAATTTATTTAAAAAGCAAGATTAAACAGACTTAAAAAGCAGGCACATCTCTTATACGTTTCCAACAGAAAAAATAAGAACATTGTAGAGTATTGCTAGCTAATGTACTTACAAAATGAGAACAAGGGCAAAGTTAAAATGGTTGAATCTGCCTCTCAAAGACAGTAGAAATCTTCATTACAAAGACACGCAATTGAATGGCAGACTGACAGAAGGGCGATTCGCGGATTGCAGAGCGCCCTCCTTTCCTCGGGTCTTTCTTTCTCAAACCCCACGTGGAAACGGAACCCAAATCCAATCAAAATTCTGGATTCTGTTTAAATTCACCAATGGTCAGCTAGTTGGGTAATAACTTAGCTTGGGACAGCTGAGGCTTGTTGGTTCTCAAGACCTTGGATCAAAAGTTTCCTCCCCACACAGCAGATACACATTCCAGTGGTGATTAGGGTTGATGGCTCATTCACACCCAGGAAGCATCTTGGGGACCAGGTGCTAAAATACCACTAACCAACTAGAGGTTTTTCCTTCCTGCAGATGCCTGAGGTAAGCATTTCACACTTTCAGAGACTGCAAGTCCCCAGTTTAAAGCAACAAGGACACATTCCCCATCAATCCTTTGGCCGTTGGTCTTCCCATAATACTTTGCTTCAGCTTGACCAAAGTTGGTCTATTGAAATTTCCTAACTTCACTACACCACCCTAAACCTTGGCAGGGGCCTGTGGGATAGCTCAAGCTAGTTTTTCTTGGACCTGGTGGTTTGTAGGTGCTAAAGTGAATTAGTTACCCACCCAAGTCAGGACCAGGCTGTGGTGGAAAGTCCAACTCTCATCCTTCCTGCATCTCAATGGATTCAGTCTTGTGGTTCAGAACTCTGTCTCACTCTGCCACTTGGGGATCTGCTACCTGAGGCAGCCACTTCACTTTGCCTCCTTAAGAGAGATGGACAGTCTCTTATCCTTTCATTGGAGGGGTGGCAATTAATTAAGTCGAAAAATAGCCACTGGCCCTTCTCTTCCAGAACTGCACTTGACCTGCTTTCAGAATTTCCTTGCAAAGGAAGATTCCAGCAGGGAATCCCTTGCCCAGTTGCCCTGATACAGTGCTACCTCCGCTTGCTGACGGGATCCGTCCCAGAGGTCTGGCTGGATCCTGAGGTTTTTGGAACCGGAGAGACTGCTTCCGCACAGGCGCGCTCGGCAAAAATATCCTTCTGGGTTTGCTGCTTAGGTTCCCGAAGTTTAATTAACCGGCAGGATACGTAAGCGGTGGTAAGACTGTATATCTTATTTATTGATTTATAAAAAGAATTTGCAGACTGCCCCACCATAGAGAATTCCAAGGTCACCACTGGGTTGATTTCCTAGGGCTGATTTCCTTCCGAATGGAGAGGTTTGATCTTGCAGTCCATGGGACTCTCAAGAGTCTCCTCCCACACCAGAATTCAAAAGCATCCATTCTTCGGCAATCAGCCTTCTTTATGGTCCAGCTCTCACTTCCATACATCACTACTGGGAAAACCAGAGCTTGAACTATACAGACCTTTGTTGGCAAGGTGATGTCTCTGCTTTTTAAGATGCTGTCTAGTTTTGTCATTGCTTTTCTCCCAAGAAGCAGGCGTATTTTATTTATATTTTATTTTTATTTATTTTATTGTATAATGAAATGATTTTAGAATGTATTATTTTATTGTTGTTAGCCGCCCTGAGCCCGGCTTCGGCTGGGGAGGGCGGAATATAAATAAAAGGTATTATTATTATTATTGGTAGGAAGTCACTTCGGCACGGTACTGGCACAATCGAAGTAGCTCCTTCGTTGAAGTTCATATCTGTGAAGTTTGCATCTTGAAGAATGAGTATCTGGACAAGACGATCCTCTGGTATATTGCTGCTTTCCCCTCTGAACAGGGAGCGTTGTGTGAAGTGCTATTGGAAGTGCTATATGTGTGTGTGTGTGTGTGTGTGTGTGTATACTGTATAAGTGTGTATGTGTATATATATGTTCTGTATATGTATGTATATATATGTGTGTGTGTGTGTATATATGAGTGTGTGTTTGTGTGTATCTGTGTGTGTGTGTACTGTATATATATGTGTATGTGTGTGTGTATATATATGTGTATCTCTGTGTGTGTGTGTGTAATATATATATATATATATATATATATATATATATATATATACGTGTGTGTATCTGTGGGTGTGGGTATATATATGTGTGTGTGTACTGTATATATACCATATTTTTCGCTGTATAACACGCTCCCAACCATAACACGCACATAGTTTTTAGAGGAGGAAAACAAGAAAAAAATATTCTAAACGAAACAGTGGATGTATGATTTTTGTGGTTCATGCTGTGGCCACAGACATGTGATCTGACGGTGAGTTTGGGGTAGCCCAATGCAAAAATCTTGAGGATCCATGTGGATCCGTGCTTTGTAACCACGTTTTTGCACCACTGTGGCCCCAGGCAAAAGTGGGTGCGTGATTTTTTTGGTGCAAGCTGTAGCCATGGACATGCTATGAGATCTGATGGTGAATTTGGGGTGACCCAGTGCAAAAATCCTGAGGATCCATGTGGATCCGTGCTTTTTAACCATGTTTTAAGTGGGGAGGGAAGGAAAAGCACTCAAGGGACAAGGAACACGCGTGGGGTGGGTGGAGAAGGATGCTGTTAATAATGCAGAAGAGGGGTATAAGAGGAGAAGGCTCTTATAAGAGGAGCGGGGAGGAGAGAGAGACAGAGACCCTGCTTCCGAAAAACTTTGCTGCTATTTAGCGAGTGGGGAGGAGAGAGAGACAGAGGGCCTGCTTGAAAAATCTTTGCTGTTATTTAGCAAGCAGGCTCTCTGTCTCTCTCTCCTCCTCACTCAGCGGCTCTTCTCCCGCTTTGCTGTTTCAAAGCGAGCCACGGAGGAGGGAAGGAAGGGGAACCATGGATCCTCTGCTCACGACTGCAGCAGATCCCCCCGCCATCCGTAGGCATTCCCTCCATAACACACAGGAAAAAAGAGTGTTATAGTGCAAAAAATACCATATATATGTGTGTGTGTGTATGAGTGTGTGTGTATATATATATATGTGTGTGTACTGAATATATATGTGTGTGTGTGTGTGTGTGTGTGTGTATCTGTGTGTGTACTGTATATATATGTGTATGTGTGTATATATATGTGTATCTGTGTGTGTATGTGTGTGCGTGTATGTACTGTATATATATATGTGTGTGTGTATGGGTGTGTGTATATATATATATATATCAGTGTGTGTGTACTGTATATATATGTGTATGGGTGTATATATATATATATATATACATATGTGTGTATATACACGTGTGTGTACTGAATATATATGTGTATGTGTGTATATGTGTATCTGTGGGTGGGTGTATATATATATATATATATATATATATATATGTGGGTGTGGGTGGGTGTGTACTGTATATATACCGTATTTTTCGTTCTATAGGACGCACATTTTCCCCTCCAAAAATTAAGGGGAAATGTGTGTGCGTCCTATAGAGCGAATGCAGGCTGCGCCGCTAAGCCCAAAGCCAGAACAGGAAGACGGAGCACTGCGGAGCGCTCGATCTCACTCTTCTAGCTTGGGGACGGCTGCGCGCACAGCCTCTCCAGGGCAGCGGGGCGCTGCGCTCCAAAGGCTTCTGGGATCTTTGAGGCTGGTGGTGGGGGAAAGCAGCGCTTTCATAAACATAAACACACACGCATATATTTATATATATATATGTGTGTGTGTGTGCATGTATATATGTATGTGTGTATTTTTCGCTCTATAAGACGCACCAGACCACGAGACGCACCTAGTTTTTGGAGGAGGAAAACAAGAAGAATTTTTTTTCTGAATCTCAGAAGCCAAAACAGCAAGAGGGAGCGCTGCGCAGCGAAAGCACACACATTCCCCCTTACATTTTAGGAGGGAAAAAGTGAGTCATAGAGCAAAAAATACGGTGTGTGTGCGTGTACTATATATATATATATATATATATATATATGGGTGTGTGTGGTGCGCGCGCTGTATATGTGTGTATATATATGTACTGTATGTGTGTGTACTGTGTGTGTGTGTGTATATATATATATATGCACTGTATATGTGTATATATATAAACATAAACACACACACGTATATTTATATGTATGTGTGTATGTACTGTATATAGGTGTATGTATATATATATACACACACACACACACACACACACACACACACACACATATATATGTATATTTATATATATGTATGTATGTGTGCATATGTGTGTGTGTATACTTGTCTGTATATATACTGGTAGATAGAAAGAACAGACAAAAGCTGTATTTTCTTCTGTATTTTCTTCTGTCTTTTCTTCCTAGATCAGCTGTTCTGCATCTGGCACAACTGGACTGCCCAAGGCTGCCACTGTGGCACAGAGCAGGTGAGGAGCGTCAGCGTGACTGTCCTGGCAACTCAGTCTAGTTTTTAATTTGTGATGATTATTTTTTTATATGTACACAAATATCCCAGAAGCGCTACTGCCAGACACTTGTCGTTACAGCTGTCTTCTTTTTTACATCTTTATATATGATAATAATATGGTAATAGATAATATTATATATAAAATAATATATAATAGTAATAAAATAAATGATCTTTATTATTGATTTAGTTTGAGTTACATACACATAATATATTACATTTTACATTTACACTTGCTCTTGAGAGCTGATTTTCCTCCTTCCTTCTTTCAACTTCTTTATGTCCCTCTAACTTTTCGCATTGTCTTTTTCCATTTTTCTTCTTCCATTCTTCTCCATAAAATGTCTGTAAGCAAATAATCTTCCTATATATACAGTTCTTATTGTCTGTCTACATTCATTTACAAATACTGTTCATCACATTACTCATAATATACATTTTTATTTCTTACTCTTTTTATTATTCAGTCAATTTCTTTGTCTTTTCCCATCATGAGCTTTGTTTCAATTCTACCTGTTTCGCTATTTCACTTCATCTTCCCTATATATAACATGAATTTCCCCCCATTCTTTTTGAAATGTTTCATCTCCCTGATTTGAATTTTAGCTGTTAATTTGGCTGTTTCTGCCTACTCCAACACCTTGTACTGCCACTAAAGATCTTCTTTAATTTAATGTTTAATTTAATTAATTTAAATTAATGTTTAATTTAATTTAAATGTTTTCCCGATAGGTTTTCACTTTATCCCATGTCCGTCACATGGGGAAGAAACTGCCTTCTTTCACCCACATTTCCAACACTTATTTCCTGTTTTATACATCTTTGTCAATTTAGTTTAATGATCTGTACATCATTTTTAACTGATTCTCTTTTAACAATCTCCATGCTGCCAATTTTAGCCCAGAGTTCCATAATTTTATCCACTTTTCGTACTCAATATTATGGCCTATTATGCCCATTTAATCCTGACATTTTGGATTTCCTCCTCCTTTGTGTGCCATTCTAATAATAAAATAATCAATGAAAATAAAATAATCAATAAATTAATAAAAATTTGTAAATCTTAAGACAATATTTTTGGGTTATTTTGTATGACTGCAGTTTCTAATATTGATTTGCTTTGTTCCAAACCTCTTGCTCTTTTGTCTTTTGAGAAGATGTCGTTCATTTGGTGATATTCCATCCAACCTGATAATTTATCTTTTAGCTTTTACCTTTTAATAAATATTTTAATTAAGCTTTTACCTTTTAATTAATCAAATTTATTTTTATTTATTTATTTATTTTAATTTATCTTTTACCTTTTAATTTATCTTTTCCTAAGGCTTGATCTTAATTACCGTATTTTTCGCCCTATTGGACGCACTCGGCCCATATGACGCACCTAGTTTTCAGGGGGGGAAATCAAGGAAAAAAGTATGATTTCCCCCCCACAGCTCTGGGAGCAGCAGACAGGCTGCACGCAGCCTGTGCGCTACTCCAAGACCTTCTCCCTGCTTTTGCGGGAGGTGGAGGAATTTCTCCACCTCCCGCAAATGCGTGACTCCTACGGGCTTTTCGACCAGGAGGGAAAAGGGACTGAAATGGCCAGGCAGTCCCTTCTCCCTCCTCAGGGAAAAGCCCCCAAGAGCGGCACGCTCTTCAAAGGGTGCGCGGCTCCTGCGGGCTTTTCTGGGAGGTGGGGAATTCCCCCACCTCCCATAAAGCTCCGCAGGAGGGATGGCGAGTAGCGGGAAGGCCTTGCACGCCTTCCCGCTGCCCCCCATCCTCTGGGGCTGGCCATGGGGGAAGCGCTGCTTTCCCCCACCGCCAGCCTCAAAGAGCAGACTCTCCTGGCTTCAGCGGAAGCAACGCAAAGCCTCCGGAGCGCAGGCTTTGGAGGCTTCGCGTTGCTATCGCTGAAGCCAAGGAGCCTGCATTCGCCCCATAAGACGCACACACATTTCCCCTTCATGGTTGGAGGGGTAAAAGTGGGTCTTATAGGGCGAACAATACGGTACATTTTCTCTTCCTGCAACATGTCTCTAGAAGCCTCTCTCACACATTTCCCCTGTCTTTTTCTGGAAGAAAATTTCAAATTCTGTGCTTTTGGATTCCTTTCCAGAAAGGCTCAATTGTCTTGAAAGCTCCTCTATCTGCCCTTTCATTTTCTCTCCTCCTTTTTGATTTTCCCTCATTTCTTTCTGCAATTTTTTATTGTTCCTCTACTGTTTGCATTTCTGCTTTCCATTCCTTCATTCTGTTGCAACTTCCGTTATCTTTTCCTCAATGTTTTTTCCACTTTCCTTTAACTCTCTCCAGCAAGATGGGCGGGGCACAAATAATAAATTATTATTATTATTATTATTATTATTATTATTAATTATTATTATCTCTGCCAAGATTTTTGCAAAATCTCCCTCCCCTTCTATCTCATCTTTCGATTTCCTTCTCTCTCCTGGTGTTGTTGTTTTGGCTATCTTACTCATGTTTCTTTCATTAATAAAAGCTCTTTAATGTCTTTCATTAATAAAAACTCTTTAATAAAATCTCTTTAATTAAAATCTGAGGTGAAATGTCTGTGCGTCTTATGGGGCAAATGTATGGTCTGTGGGGCTGGGGGGGGGGACCCACAAAAGCCCCCCAAGAGCCGCGCTCCCTTTCAAGAGCTGGGCGGAGGGTGGGGGGGGGGGGCTCTTGGGGGCTTTTCCCTGAGGAGGGAGAAGGGCAGCCCGTCAGCGACAGACTATTTTGGAACGTTCCAGAGTGTTCTAGAACGTTCCAGAGTGCTCTTCCAGAACATTCTCTTCTCTCCCAGAATAATCTCTGCTCTCCCAGAATATTCTGGAGGGTTCCAGAGCTCTGGAATGTTCTAGAGTGCTCTTTAGCGGCATCTTTACTAGGACAGTCCCTTTCCCAGAGGCATCTTTTCTATAGGATTCTCTTTCCCATAATATTTCGGAATGTTGCAGTGTGACAAACCACCAGGTCCAAGAAAAACTAGCTTGAGCTATCCAACAGGCACCTTCAAAGCTTTAGGGTGGGTCCAGATCACAAAATTTGAACGGGAACACTTCCTAATGATTTCTGCTCAGGAGAAGCCAAGTACTCTGGACCACGATGTTGAATGGGCCTTCAGTGACTGAAACAGCTTTGGATCTTATAGATCCAGCTGAAACAGGGATTTGCAAGGAACTAGTGCACACATCTTGTTTAGCTCAAGGTAATTTCTGATTTCCTTCCTGTTCAAGGGTCTTCTTGATCTTTTGGGGCTGGAGCTTTCTTTCCATGCAGACCCTCCCCACCAATGCGTTTGCTTCCACCTCCTACCAATGGAGTTTGCGCCTCCAAGCAGTTTGGGGCTGCACTCACTGTGCGCTCGTATTTCACACAGTCAGGCCACGGATCAGCACCCAGGAGATTCCCTAAGAGAAAGAGAGAACGATGGCCTACCTGCTGAGGGATCCAGTGGGAGACAGTTCTAGATGATGTCCTTGTTCTGTAGGCATAACCCAAAAGCTGCTATTTGGTGCTATCTGCAAGGAAACAAAAAGCAGGTATGAATTTAGGCCACTTAATACTATCTAGCAGCAGCGAGAAGTAAGCAAGTATTTGGTCAAAACGTGTATTTTGCAGTATATAAGGACAATTTCAGCTCACATAAGCAGGCCAACACAAGAACATGCAGGCAATGTAACAAAGGGGACAGTTCTCAGGATCCGATTTCTCGTTCACAGCCACATCTCAGAAAAAAGTTGCAGAAGGTACTAACCCCATGAATAATAATAATAATTTATTATTTATACCCCGCCCATCTGGCCGGGTTTCCCCAGCCACTCTGAGCGGCTGCCAACAAAACACTAAAATACAATAACCTATTCAACATTAAAAGCTTCCCTAAACAGGGCTGCCTTCAGATGAAGGCTCCTGCATGATTTGTACCCATAAGATCCAAAAGAGTCCCACCCACCCACACTGCAAGAGGAGAAATCAAACTCTCTCAGGTAGCCCTGTTTCCATAGATAACACTCTCAGTGATTTATATTATTATTGAATTCATTTCCACCAGGCCCTTGGGGTTTCTTACTTTTTCTCTGCGAAGGAACCACAGGCGGCAAAGTATTCCAACGCTTACGATAAAACCCCAGACTCCAAAAACAAAAGGTCAAGGGCGAAAGCAGTAAAAGAACAAGGAGGTATGGGGGGAAGTTTGAATGGCTTAGAAATTCAGGAAATCCTACCCGATGCCGGTGGAGAAAATGGAGCAGGGAAAAATCATTAGGAGGGAGTCAGCATTTTGAAAAGTCTACTGAGTAAGAAAGGAGAAAAAAGGTCTCAGCTCCCGAGGGGCAAGAGAGACAAGACACAGCTAAACAAAACAAACTTCAATGTGAGATCTAGACAATGTTTTGAATTCCCGTGAAACTCAGCCCATTTGGGAGGAACTTGGAGTTTTGTATATACTGTACTGTTAAGGCACTTTTGGAAACATTAGCTTGGAAACATTATTAAGCCCAAAGACTTATTGTAACAACACGGTTGTTGGAAACATCCGAAAGACATTAATAAGAGCTTTGGACTGTAGAGAAGTCAGAGATACTGTTTGCATTCTACTTTACTTCTCAATATCTATGAAGTATCAGAACTGATCGGTTTGCGACCTTTTCCACGCTACCCTCTGCGAAAAGCAGTGGGGGAATTAGAAGTTTTATATTCTCCACCTTATTAGACTTCATTACAGACGCTGTGCAGAAGGATGGATTCGATCAGGAGCTGAACAGGGTGTGTGTGGAGATTTGTATTTGTATGTGTATCTGAATATGCTTGTTTGGACTAAGGCTGTTCTCAAGGAAAGTAAATTGAGATAATCATTGGGTATGGTAAAAGAGAAAGTGAGAGAAATAGAGACACTCAGTGGCGAAAGAGAACAGCAGGAAACATACATTTTTTGGCAAATTGCACCTTGAAACAAACTATTAATTAAAGAAACATGAGTCAGATAGCCAAAACAACCACACCAGGGGAGAGAAGGACATTCAAAGTTGAGATCGAAGGGGAGGGAGATTTTGCAAAAATATTGGCAGAGATAAGAGAAATAAGGAGAAAGGTAAAGGAAAAAACATTGAGGAAAAGATAGTGGAAGTTGCAACAGACTTATCAGGACAAAGGAAGGAATGGAAAGTAGAAATGCAAACAGTAGAGGAACAATAAAAAAAGTTCAGAAAGAAATGAGGGGAAATAAAGAAGCTGGAAGAAGGAAGGAGGGAAGTCAGCTCTCAAGAGCAAGTGTAAAGTGTAATATATTATGTGTATATAATGGATGTAACTAAAACTAAATAAATAATAAAGGTCATATATATATAAAAGAAGACAGCTGTCAAGAGAAGTGTCTGGCAGTCGTGCTTCTTGGATATTTGTGTACATATAAAAAAAAATCATCACAAATTAAAAACTAGACTGAGTTCCCGGGACAGTCATGCTGACGCTACTCACCTGCTCTGCGCCCCAATGGCAGCCTTGGGCATTCCAGTTGTGCCAGATGCAGAACAGCCGATCTAGGAAGAAAATACAGAAGAAAATACAGCTTTGGTCTGTTCTTTTTATCTACCTTGGCCAACTACTAGCCTCCAAGGCAGCTGTTCTGAAAAAAACAGAACAGAACAATAACAAAACACACACACACACACACAAAAACAAACAGGCCTACTCCCTGCAACAAAGGCCACAGGGACACAAACCCACCTGCTGCAGATATACAGAAGATATCCTAAAATATATGTATCCTTCCATTTGCACTAGAGATCATTCGAACAATGCTGATGGGGGGGTCTGTTTCAATTGCTACTCTCTGCTGCTTTGTTTAGTTATTTATTTTAAGCACCCATACACAGCTTTTAAAGCATAAAAAGCATTACTGGAATAGAAATCAATACTAAAGTAAACAGTGACCCCGTGTGGCCATTACTGGAATAAACATCAATAGGAAAGTAAACAGTGACCCCATGTGGCCAGTGCTGGAATAGAATTCATGATAATTTCTAGGTGTAAGTTATTTCCAGTTAGGAATTTGAATCTGGCTTTTAAATTATTTCCCTTCCAAAATTTTAATTTATCTCATTTATTTCATTTGGACTCTGAAGCATACAAATGAACTTTATCTCAATGGATCAAGAATTAGTACCTGGCCCATTGATGTAGCCAAGGGGGGCAGCACTAGAAATCCTTAACTATCTGACCAATTCCATTGGCTCTGCCCCCCTTTCCAAAGTCCTGCCCTCCAACAAAGACCCTGGCTATGCTGATGACCTGGCCCCAAGCTTCCTGGCTGAGTCGAATTTCTCAACATTTCACATTATGTGTAGTTTCAGGATTCTTCACATTAACACCAATTCTGGTTTTGAGAAGACAAATAGCGAACCAAACTTTAAGCAACCTTCTCTCCCACCACAAACTAGTTCTCCCTTCAAGGCCGTAGCCTCAAAGGGAGCATTTCCTTTCAAAATGGAATCAGAAAAATGAATTTCACAACTTTTAGTTCAGCCCCAAATCTACCTCCTAACCACTCAGTTCCAACTGCTGAGGAATGGAATTTTATCAGGAATATTTTATCTGTTTGAACTGTGTATTTCCCCTTCGATGGCCTCGAGTCTTAGGAAGTGAGATTCATTCCTGTTCAAGGGTCTTATTGATCTTTTGGAGCTGGAGCTTTCTTTCCATGCAGACCCTCCCCACCAATGCATTTGCTCCCACCTCCCACAAACGGAGTTTGCGCCTCCAAGCAGAGTTTGGGGCTCCACTCACTGTGCGCTCGTATTTCACACAGTCAGGCCACGGATCACACCCTGGCCAGCACCCAGGAGATTCCCTAAGAGAGAGAGAGAACGATGGCCTACCTGCTGAGGGAGACAGCAGGCAGTTCTGGATGATGTCCTTGTTCTGTAGGCATCATAACCAAAAGCTGCTTTTCGGTGATATCTACAAGGAAACAAAAAGCAGGTATGAATTTAGGCCACTAGCAGCAGCAAGAAGTAAGTAAGTATTTGGTCAAAACATGTATTTTGCAGTATATAAGCACAATTTCAGCTCATATAAGCAGGCCACCTAAAGCAACAAGACAAGAACATGCAGGCAATGCAACAAAGGAGACTGCTATCAGGATCCTATATTTTGTTCACAGGTACATCTCAGAAAAAAGTTGCAGAAGGTACTAACCCCATGGTGAATAATAATAATAAGCTATTATTTATATCCCGCCCATCTGGCTGGGGTTTCCCCAGCCACTCTAGGCGGCTTCCAACAAAACACTAACCTATTAAACATTAAAAGCTTCCCTAAACAGGGCTGCCTTCAGATGAAGGCTCCTGCATGATTTCTTTTTTTTTTTTATAAGATATTTATTAAGTTTTTTGAAATATTACAGCAAAAATGAAAAAGAAAAGAGAAAAATACAAAATAAAAACAATTAAAAACACACATATTTCCAGTTACTTATTTTCCTTTAACTTGTTTCCCGGACCTCCTCATACCTCCCTTTTTGTATTCCACTTCAATTTATTGGTTCAGCAAATCCTTACCATTAGATTTTAACCCATTTATAACCCTTTTTTCATATTCTCTTAAAGCATTACAGCTAGAAACCACTTAGTTACTATCCAACATCATTCTATCATTCATTAATTTTACAATATTTCTGTAAGTAATCTTTAAATTTCTTCCAATCTTCTTCCACCGACTCTTCTCCCTGGTCTCGGATTCTGCCGGTCATTTCTGCCAATTCCATATAGTCCATCACCTTCATCTGCCATTATTCCAAAGTGGGTAGATCTTGTGTCTTCCAGTACTTTGCAATGAGTATTCTTGCTGCTGTTGTGGCATACATAAAAAAAGTTCTGTCCTTCTTTGGCACCAATTGGCCGACAATGCCCAGAAGAAAGGCCTCTGGTTTCTTCAAGAAGGTATATTTAAATACCCTTTTCAGTTCATTATATATCATTTCCCAGAAAGCCTTAATCCTTGGGCACGTCCACCAAAGGTGAAAGAATGTACCTTCAGTTTCTTTACATTTCCAGCATTTATTATCGGGCAAATGATAGATTCTTGCAAGCTTGACTGGGGTCATGTACCACCTGTATATCATTTTCATAATATTCTCTCTTAGGGCATTACATGCCGTAAACTTCATACCTGATTTCTATCCATAAGATCCAAAAGAGTCCCAGCCATTTGTGTGTTTTCCAGCAACACAGTGACCCCGTGTGGCCAGTGCTGGTATAGAATTCATGATAATTTCTAGGTGTAAGTAATTTCCACGCAGGAATTTGAATATGGCTCTAAAATTATTTCCCCTTTCAAACTTTTAATTTATCTCATTTGGATTCTGAAGCATACAAATGAGCTTTACCTCCTTTTATCATCACAACAATAATATAATGTACATTGGACCAAGAATTAGTACATGGCTCGTGGATCAAGTAAAGCAATAGAGAGGCAGTGTGGTGTAGTGGTTAAGAGCGGTGGATTTGTAATCTGGTGAACCGGGTTCGATTCCCCGCTCCTCCACATGCAGCTGCTGGGAGACCTTGGGCCAGTCACACTTCTCTGAAGTCTCTCAGCCCCACTCACCTCAGAGAGTGTTTGTTGTGGGGGAGGAAGGGAAAGGAGATTGTGAGCCGCTTTGAGACTCCTTAGGGTAGTGATAAAGCAGGATATCAAATCCAAACTCTTCTACTCTTCTTCTTCAATAGAAATACTTAACTATCTGACCAATTCCATTGCCTCTGTCCCCCTTTCCAAAGTCCTGCCCTCCAACAAAGACCCTGGCTATGCTGATGACCTGGCCCCAAGCTTCCTGGCTGAGTCGAATTTCTCAACATTTCACATTATGTGTAGTTTTAGGATTCTTCACATAAACACGAATTATGGTTTTGAGCAGACAAATAGTGATCAGAAATCATGGGGCTGGTGAGCTTTATTGATCTGAATTACTCAAACGGCTTCTAGTGCTGGCCACTACAGCAGGGGCTGATCCCCATTTCTTGTTGTGGTGTTCAGTTCAGAGTATCTGCTCAAAAAATCAAACAGAAAGCAATGGAGGGTTGCCCTTAAGGCTGGAGTCTTCTAGACCCAAACTGGGTTTTGGGATGCTCTATTAGACAAACCAGCCAGCTCCCTGCCTCTCTAATTCACTGGGCATTCAAGTATTTGCTTGCAAATTAATTATCTTTTTTAAATTTAGGCCTCTTCCAACACATTTATCTCAAGATGTAACGTGCAAGTGTACCACTTTGGGATGCTAATTCATCTCGGCTTGGATTATGTGGATAAATTGATAGGTGAAAGAATTAATTCCCTGGTTAAAGCAATGGTTCATCTGAAGAAATTAAGTTTTCAACACATTGCTTTGTCACCTTTAGAAAAGGAAAAAGGAGACAAACCTCACCAACATGGGGGAAGCCAGGAGGAGCTGCCCTACCCCATTCAAATAAATAAAAACACTTTACTGTATTTTAACTGTACTGTGCTGGTTAGTGGGGTCGGTGTGATATATTAGGAGTGGGGTTGTTTAAAAATGTTCTTTTTTAAAATAATATTTATTAAAGTTTACAGAAATAAGAAGAAGAAAAAAAGAAAAACGAAAATACAAAATACAGAAAAATAAAAACAATTAAAAACAAATCAGTCTTTCCATATCTTATCTTTCATTTGCTTGTTTCCCTGACCTCCTCACACCTCCCTTTTTTGTATTCCAGTTCAATTAGTTAATTCAGCAATTTCTTTCCCTCTTTGATTTTATCTTAATCTTTTATCTTAATATATTATAACTTTAGCTATCACCTGTTGACAATCCATTTTTACCTATTCCTTTATAACATTGCTGCTAAAAACCCCTTAACTTCAATCCAACATCATTCTAACATTCATTAATTTTGCAGTGTTTCTGTAGATAGTTTTTAAATTTCTTCCAATCTTCTTCCACCGTGTTTAAAAATGTTCTTAAGTGTTATGTGTATATTTCTATTTTTTCCCCTTTTACCTTCATGGCTGCAGCTGAGATTTCCTCCACCTCCTCTTCTCCCTTCATCAGGCGAAGTTTCTTCCTCCTCCTCTTCCTCCTTTTCAGAGCAGGAATTCAGACCTAAGAAATATCAATAATGTCGATTATTTTCCCAAGAAGGGAAAGAGGGGTCCACGTCAAAGCAGATATATAATATTTCCAGCGTGGAAGAAAGAATCAAGTGGGAAAGGAGCCAGCAGACGACTAACGGGAAGAAGTGTGCTTTTCCCCTGTTTCTTCTTTCTGAAGCACTTTCCCCAGAATCATATAATGGTACATCTAGCTGGAAGGGACCCCAAGGGTCATCCAGTCCAACCCGCCGCAAGGCAGGAATCCGCGAAGGAACCACAAGGAGACTGCATTTAATAAAAAGTGGAGGAATTGGGATCTTGAGGAATTAGCTGGTTTCAAAACCACTGCTTCAAGCAGTGCTTCATCTGCATAATACACTGTTCAGGTACAGTTTCCAATACATTAAAGGCGGCCTGAGGGGGAAAGCAATGGAGATCTGCACTTTATTTTCTACAAAGAATAAATGATTATTATTTTCACAGCCATTTCCTCTGGAGTTGCTTCTCCCCCCAATTGAAATCATTAAAATACTATACTGTTAAGGCTTAGGGGGGAAGAGGCCATGCCTCACTTGGGTGTGTGTGAATAATAATAATAGTTTAAAATTTAATGATAATCATAATAATTTATTCCCCAGCCCCCAGCAGCATATTTTTAAAAAAATGATAGGATGTCATATACCCCAAACTTCCCTCACCCTTTTATAAGAATAAGCATGATAATTGTTGGCAAGTTTGGGGTTGGGATTCGGCTGTCCTTGGCCAACAATCCCTTCCTGTAGCCCCTTTTCAAGGGGAAAAGAGCTTTGCAATGGAGGAAAGTGGCAAAGGAGTAGATTTTATCTTATTTTTATATTTATTTTTCACTTCCCGGAGATGTCAAGTGGAAAGGATACATTCAGGCATCCGATTTGTAACATGTAGTGTGTAATTTCTGCAACAAATACATTGTTTCAGATCCAGTTTCCAAGATTCAGTTCGAATAAATAAAAATACTATAGTGTTAAGGCTTAGGGGGGAAGAGGCCATGTCCTACTTGGGTGGGTGTGATTAATAATAACAATTATAATAAAAATTTAACATTTAATGATAATAATAATGTACTGTTTTTTCCCAGCCACCAACAGAATATTTAAAAAAATGATAAAACAACAAACTTCCCTCACCCTTTTATCAGAATAACCATTATAATAATAATGATAGGAATTGAAAAATGAAGGATCCTCATTTATTCTCCTTTCCCAGCCGCTCCCCACAGAATATTAAAAACGCAACAAAACATACTATATTACAAACTTTGCCTCCTTTTCTAATAATAATATGCGTTGAGCGAGGGGGTTGCTAGGGCGGCCATTTTGGACAAGGGCAAGGGGACTGGAAAGAGGGAGGGGAAAGAAAGGGCGGAAGAGGCAGCGGTGGCGCCATGTTGGTTGGGGGCAGCAGGGCCTAGACTAGATTTCTGCATTTCAGGGGTCAGACTAGATGCCTCTGGGGTTCCCTCTCTGCATTTCAGGGGTCAGACTAGATACCTCTTGTGGTCCCTGCGGAGAGGGAAGGCTGGAGGGACCCCCCAAAAAAATCCCTTCTGGGAGGTGTCCCAACAGTGCCTGAGGGGCCTGGATAGGGTTAGACATAGATAGGGGAAAAAACAGTGCCCTCGTGTGGCCAGTACTGGAATAGACATGGATAGGAAAATAAACAGTGCCCTCCTGTGGCCAGTACTGGAATAGACATGGATAGGAAAATAAACAGTGCCCTCCTGTGGCCAGTACTGGAATAGACATGGATAGGAAAATAAACAGTGCCCTCCTGTGGCCAGTACTGGAATAGACATGGATAGGAAAATAAACAGTGCCCTCGTGTGGCCAGTACTGGAATAGACATGGATAGGAAAATAAACAGTGCCCTCCTGTGGCCAGTACTGGAATAGACATGGATAGGAAAATAAACAGTGCCCTCCTGTGGCCAGTACTGGAATAGACATGGATAGGAAAATAAACAGTGCCCTCCTGTGGCCAGTACTGGAATAGACATGGATAGGAAAATAAACAGTGCCCTCCTGTGGCCAGTACTGGAATAGAGATGGATAGGAAAATAAACAGTGCCCTCCTGTGGCCAGTACTGGAATAGAGATGGATAGGAAAATAAACAGTGCCCTCCTGTGGCCAGTACTGGAATAGAGATGGATAGGAAAATAAACAGTGCCCTCCTGTGGCCAGTACTGGAATAGACATGGATAGGAAAATAAACAGTGCCCTCCTGTGGCCAGTACTGGAATAGACATGGATAGGAAAATAAACAGTGCCCTCGTGTGGCCAGTACTGGAATAGACATGGATAGGAAAATAAACAGTGCCCTCGTGTGGCCAGTACTGGAATAGACATGGATAGGAAAATAAACAGTGCCCTCGTGTGGCCATTACTGGAATAGACATGGATAGGAAAATAAACAGTGCCCTCGTGTGGCCAGTACTGGAATAGACATGGATAGGAAAATAAACAGTGCCCTCGTGTGGCCAGTACTGGAATAGACATGGATAGGAAAATAAACAGTGCCCTCGTGTGGCCATTACTGGAATAGACATGGATAGGAAAATAAACAGTGCCCTCGTGTGGCCAGTACTGGAATAGACATGGATAGGAAAATAAACAGTGCCCTCGTGTGGCCATTACTGGAATAGACATGGATAGGAAAATAAACAGTGCCCTCCTGTGGCCATTACTGGAATAGACATGGATAGGAAAATAAACAGCGACCTCGTGTGGCCATTACTGGAAAAGACATGAATAGGAAAATAAACAGTGCCCTCCTGTGGCCATTACTGGAATAGACATGGATAGGAAAATAAACAGTGCCCTCCTGTGGCCAGTACTGGAATAGACATGGATAGGAAAATAAACAGTGCCCTCCTGTGGCCAGTACTGGAATAGACATGGATAGGAAAATAAACAGTGCCCTCCTGTGGCCATTACTGGAATAGACATCAATACTGGAAAGAGGGCAAGGGGCAGGAGGGGGAAGAAAGGGCGTAAGGCGGCAGCGGCGCCATGTTGGTTGAGGGCAGCAGGGGCTAGAGTAGATTTCTGCATCTCTGCATTTCAGGGGTCAGACTAGATGCCTCTGGGAGTCCCTGCGGAGAAGGAAGGCCGGAGGGACCCCCCCCAAAAATCCCCTCTGGGAGGAGTCCCAACAGTGCCTGAGGGGCCTGGTTTCTCATTATTATATATTATAATATATTATATTATAATATTATTATTGTTGTTATTATATTATATAATTATATATCCTGTCATTTTATCCGGGCACCCCCAACCTGCAGCCCTCCAGATGTTTTGGACTACAATTCCCATCATCCCTGACCGCTGGTGCTGTTTGCTAGGGATCATGGGAGTTGTAGTCCCAAAACATCTGGAGGGCCGCAGGATGGGGATGCCCGGATCCCTCAGCTGCCGGGAGTCCCTGTCTGGGTTTGCTGGGAATGCGTGCTATTAATAATAATAATGATGATGAGGAGGAGGAGGATGCTTCAATTTGAAGACTCGTTACTAGTTTTGTAATTATTTCCCCATCCTAAATTTCTCAAAGCTGCCTGGGAGGAAGGGAGAGTATAGTATTTTGTATATATATATATATATATATATATATATATATATATATATATATATAATATATATAATATATATATAATACATATATATAGATACACACACACACATAATAAATAACATAATAAATATATATGTAAATATACATAATAAATATAGACATTGGCTCGACCAAATGACTTAAACCATTCCTATCAGTTTGCCAAGAATTTCTCGATGGCTCAAGAAACCTCATTTTGGAAATTTCTCAAAACCTCATGTCAGGGGTTCAGGAGCAGAGGCACAGGAAAGGGAGGAAATAGAGAGCGAGGGGGAGGAGTCCGAAGGAAATGTTAGCGATGACAGCGGTCCGAGGTCTCTGAGTCTTTCCAGCGAATCGGAAGATTCACAGAAAGGGGCTCCCTTGGTCAGAGCAAGGGGGTGCCGAGGGGACACCCCAGGAAGAAGGGGCCAGAGGGGACTCAGAGAGCAGCAGTTGGAAATCAGGACCAGCGTCCACACCAGAGTGCAGAAGGGGGGAGGAGTCCCAGGCATCGGGATCAGGCGGCGCACTGCCAGTGGGAGGACATGAGTCAGGATTGGCCACGCCTCCATCGGGGAGCGAGGAAACGGTCGAGAGGAAGGTTGAAGGCTGGGTGCGCGCGCCAAGTTCAAATGTACAGGAGGGCGGCGCAGTTGGCAGCCCGGATAGGGAGCCAGGTCCCAAAGCCCGCCGAAAAGAGGGGAGGAGTCAGGGGGTCAGCGTCAGAAGAATCCAGGAAGGAAGGGACCCCGGGGGGTAGCAGGACCCAGAGGAGAAAGGAGAGACGTAAGAGGTGGAGTAAGGCTAGAATCTTAAACTGGTGTACAGGGGGCGGAGACTCAGATGGAGCTCGCCGATCTAACCCCTAGACGTAGAGCTGGGGCGCTCCGGCTTGAAAATGGAAACTGTACTTCAATAAAGACTTTTGTACATTACTGCCGGCTAGCGTTGGTCCTCTGTGAGCTGGGACCTGGAGCCAGCTCTGACACCTCATTTTGGAAATCAAATGTAAAAAATCCATCCTTGATCCCGTTTCTGCCCCCCAAACTATCCCTTGGCGGGGAGTTCCAAAGGAGGGAGCTGCTCTCTGCAATGGATCTTCGAGGGCAAGTCTCAGGGGGCAAGCAGGTGGATTTCGAGGCCAAGCTGAGCCGTGGCTCCAATTCGAACCCGGGACCTGAGCCTGTTGCCCCACAGGTTCTTTCCCCTCGGTGAGGCTGGTCTCTGCCCACCAAACTCTGCGGACACTGTCCAACGCCTGCCTCTTCCCAGATCAGCAAGTGGCGGGCAGTTCCCCAGATGGTGCGGGTTGGAGAGCAAGAGGCTGGGAGGGCCCAGGACGCCAGAAGGTGCTGGCCTGCGAATCAAGTGGCAGGGAGTTCCCAAGGAGTAGACTTCCCCATCTCCAGAGGCGAGGGGATTTCTTCGTCTCCAGTGGCAGGGAGTTCCCAAGGTGGCAAGCGCTGCAAGTCCATTCAGTCAGCTGGCAGGCGGGCCTAGGTTTCCAAAGGGAGTTTTCGCCCCGGAAGAGGGCGGGACTCGAACCTGCAGCTTCAGCTCTAGCAGGGGATTTCAGCGGAGGGAGGGATGCCCTCGAAGGGGTGGCGCCGCCGGAGACTTTTCAGATAAGAATGAAATTTTTATATACAGGGCGGTTCACAGACCAATGAACAAATATTAATGAACAAATAGTATTTCTTATTATCATTTTTGTATTATCTTTTCCTATTCTTTATATTGTCACGGCGTCGGGTTGGGGGAACGGTGCCGGGTTCGAGTTTGGGGCAGCATGCGCACCCCCCTCTCTCGGGCGCAGGTGGCGATGGAGGGGCTGTGGCGCCCGATGACCTTGAGGTAAGTCTTGGGAGTTGTAGCACCGCGTGACCAAAGGGTTCCGGGTGCAAAAGAGGGGCAGGGGATCGATGGCTCTGGCTTCTCATGCGATTTGGAATCCAGCTCCTGCGGCTGGAGGAAGCCCCATGGCGATTGATGGAGCTGGGATTGGGCCGGGCCGGGCACCGACGGTGAGTCTCGCACGCGGTACCCCCATGCGTCTGGGGTGGGAGGCTTACGACCCTGCGAGATGGGCCAAGGGGATTGGAAGGAAGCGTCGCAAGAACGGTTTGCTCTGAGCCGGGTCTGGGTGCGAGAAACCGGGCTTCTCTCCTTATTCTTTCATTTCTCTCTAGGGCGCCACATCTCCATCCAGGTGGGCGCCGGGCACCACGCCGCCCGCCTCGCCAACAAGACCCTTAAAGGCACCGGCTGCTTCCGCTACCACAAGGCTTTCCGGGGAGAAAGCGGTGAGTTGGGTTTGGCTTGGGTCGGTGGAACTCCTGCTGCGGGAAGGGAATTCTAGCGAAGCCTCCGGCACCTGAACCCCCTGCCCACCTGACTCTGCCTTCCTTTCCCTCCGGGTGCTCCTGTCCGGCCCGCAGGGGGAGCGCGTGGTTTGGCGGGAGGAGAGGCTTCTCCTTGACAGCGGTGGCAAGTTCCAGGTAAGCCATCTCAGAAAGTCTGGTGCCTTTGGGACTGCCTGCCACTGGTGTTCCTATGATAATTCAACTTCCTTCTATGAATCCTATTCAACTCCTTTAAATGGGATGGCGTTTGTCCACCTTTGGGACTGCCTGCCACTGGATGCCCTATCAAGACGTGGGGCTTTTCAGTTCGAAAAAGAGACTCCCAATTCCCCTTTGGGACTCCCTGCCACTTTGGAACGCCTCTGGGGTGAGACATTCAGCAGGTGTCAGATTCAAATTCCTTCCTGGCAGGAGGAGGTGCTGCTTTGAACCCATGTCTTGCAGGCGGTGCTGGAAGTGGGCGCTGGCGATTGGTCTGGCAAGGGTGCCATCATGGTGGACAACGTAGCATACGCGGCCGGAGGCGGGTGCGAGGAGCGCCGCCAGGAGAGCGATGGTGAAGGGGAGGTCCAATGCTTGGGGGATCCGGGGTTTGAGAGACACACAGGCGCATACGAACAGAGGCGCCCCAGTTCGAGGGCTTCGGCAAGGTTGCCTTTCGAGAGGGGAGGCCCTCGCACCCGGGACTCCCCGTCCCACCCCCAGCCCCAGAGGCAGCCTGGCCCTGAACAACCTGCTTTGCATTCGCAGGACCAGGTCCGGATCGTGGAGCTGCCCGTCCGCGTGCCAACAGACTGGCTCCTTTCTCCGCCTTGCTGGCGGGTCGGGCTGGATGACCCTCGGATCCCTTTCGGACTGGGCACCGAAGGCGGACGATACGAAACCAAGGAGAAAAGCACGGCATTCTTTCCAGAGCCGCTCCTGTTGTCTTCCATGAAATAAAACGGGATTTCTGCCCCCCAAAATGGTGTGTTGGGGTGTCTGTGCACGAATAGAGCTCAGGGAGTTGGGGACGGAGATGGGGGAACAGCCTGATCCCGGGGCAGAGGAAGAGATCCGCCTTAGTCCCTGGTTCGTGGGGGAGTGGACGCCTCTGGGGTCCCATCTCTGCATTTCAGGGGTCAGACTAGATGCCTCTGGGGTTCCCTATCTGCATTTCAGGGGTCAGACTAGATGCCTCTGGGGGTCCCATCTCTGCATTTCAGGGGTCTTTCTCCCTGTTCCCAATATATTTGTCTTAGACTTAGTAGGCTGGAAAAGACATCTACTAGAAAATAAACAGTGACCCCGTGTGGCCAATAGTGGAATAGACTCAATAGGAGAATAAACAGTGCCCTTGTGAGGCAACTACCGGTAATACGGCAAGAGGAAGTGGGACTTACAGGATATCTCTCTAGGCTGTTGGAAAGGCTCTTTAGGGATCCACTGAGGGATCCACCCTTCTCCTGCAGCTGCCAGTTCAGTCCCGCCATGAAGCCCCCCTTGCCATTCCCTTTTGCTGCCTGAAGTTCTTGGGGTGACTGCTCATCTGCTAACAACATTTATACCTCCAGGCAAAACAGAAAGCAATGGAGGGTTGCCCTTAAGGCTGGGGTCTTCTAGATCCAAAGTGGGTTTTGGATGCTCCATTAGACAAATCAGCCAGCTCCCTGCCTCAAGTATTTGAATGCCCAGTGAATTCAAATATTATCATTTGTGTGCTAGTGTACCCCTTTGGGATGCTAATTCATCTCCGCTTGGATTATGTGGATAAATCTATAGGTGAAAGAATCAATTATCTGGTTAAAGCAATGGTTCATTGGAAGAAATTAAGTTTTCAACACATTGCTTTGTCACCTTTAGAAAAGGAAAAAGGAGACAAACCTCACCAACATGGGGAAGCCAGGAGGAGCTGCCCTACCCCATTCAAATAAATAAAAACACTTTACTGTATTTTTACTGTGCTGGTTAGGGGGGTCGGTGTGATATATTGTTTAAAAATGTTCTTAAGTGTTATATGTATATTTTTATTTTTTTCCCTTTTACCTTCATGCCTGCAGCTGACTTTTCCTCCACCTCCTCTTCTCCCTTCGTCAGGTGAAGCTTCCTCCTCCTCCTCCTCCTCCTCCTTTTCAGAGCAGGATTTCAGACCTAAGAAATATCAATAATGTCAATTATTTTCACAAGAAGGGAAAGAGGGATCCCCGTCCAAGCAGACCTAGAATATATCCAGCCCAGATTGCAGTGGAAGAAAGAATCAAGTGGGAAAGGAGCCAGCAGACGACTAACTGGAAGAAATGTGCTTTCCCCCCTGTTTCTTCTTTCTGAAGCCCTTTCCCAAGAATCATATTATTATTATTATTATTATTATTATTATTATTATTATTATGCATTTAGCTGGAAGGGACCCCAAGGGTCATCCAGTCCAACCCACTGCAAGGCAGGAATCTGCGAAGGAACCACAAGGGTTCATTTCATCATCATCATCATCATCATCATCATCGTCATCATCATAAGTGGAGGAATTGGGATCTTGAGGAATTAGCTGGTTTCAAAACCACTGCTTCAAGCAGTGCTTCATCTGCACAATACATTGTTCAGGTACAGTTTTCAATACATTAAAGGCGGCCTGAGAGGGAAAGCAATGGAGATCTGCACTTTATTTTATATAAAGAATAAATGATTATTCTTATCACAGCCAGTTCCTCTGGAGTTGCTTCTCCCCCAATTCAAATAAATAAAAATACTATACTGTTAAGGCTTAGGGGGTAAGAGGCTGTGTCCCACTTGGGTGGGTGTGATTAATAATAATAATAACAATAATAATTTAACATTTAATGATACTCATAATTTATTACTCTTTCCCAGCCACCAGCAGGATATTTTTAAAAAACGAGAAAACATCACATACTCCAAACTTCCCTCACCCTTTTATAAGAATAACCATGATAATTGTTGGCAAGTTTGGGGATGGGATAATAATAATAATAATAATAATAATAATAATAATAATTAGGGCTTTCCTTGGCCAACAATCCCTTCCTGGAGTCCCTTTCTGAGGGGAAAAGAGCTTTGGAATGGAGGAAAGTGGCAAAGGAGGGGATTTGATATGATTTTTACAGCTGTCAAGTGGAAAGGATACATTCAGGCATCAGATTTGTAACATGTCGTCTGTCATTTCCTCAACAAATACATTGTTTCAGATACAGTTTCCAAGATACAGTTCGAATTAATAAAAATACTATGCTGTTAAGGCCATGTCCCACTTGGGAGGGTGGGGTTTATAATAATTATAATAATAATAATTTAACATTTAATGATAATAATAATGTACTGCTTTTTCCCAGCCACCAACAGAATATTTAAAAAATGATAAAACATCATATGCGACAAACTTCCCTCACCCTTTTTATCAGAATAACCATTATAATAATAATGATAGGAACTGAAAAATGAAGGATAATCCTCATTTATTCTCCTTTCCCAGCCGCTCCCCACAGAATACTAATAACGCGACAAAACATACTATATGACAAACTTTGCCTCCTTTTCTAATAATAATAATAATAATAATAATAATAATAATAATAATTATAATAATATGATTTAAAAAGTAATGCTAATAATAATTTATTGTTGTTTCCCAGGATGAAAAAGGCGCCCAAAGGGCGCGGGAAACAGCTGAGGAGAAGCAGCTGAGAAACAGCTGGGAGAAGAAAAAGCGGGAAACGGCTGGCCCCGCCCACAGCCCGGCCTGGGATTGGCCCAAAGGCTGACCTATTGCTGCCGAGACTTGTATCGGGCGTGTGCGTTGAGCGAGGGGGTTGCTAGGGCGGCCATTTTGGACAAGGGCAAGGGGACTGGAAAGAGGGAGGGGAAAGAAAGGGCGGAAGAGGCAGCGGCGGCGCCATGTTGGTTGGGGGCAGCAGGGCCTAGACTAGATTTCTGCATTTCTGGGGTCAGACTAGATACCTCTTGTAGTCCCTGCGGAGAAGGAAGGCTGGAGGGACCCCCCAAAAAAATCCCTTCTGGGAGGTGTCCCAACAGTGCCTGAGGGGTCTGGATAGGGTTAGACATAGATATAGGGTTAGACATAGACATAGATAGGAAAATAAACAGTGACCCCGTGTGGCCAATACTGGAATAGACCTCAATAGGAAAATAAACAGTGCCCTCGTGTGGCAATTACCGGTAATACGGCAAGAGGAAGTGGGACTTACAGGAGATCTCTCCAGGCTGTTTGAAAGATGATTCGGAGAAAGGGCCAGAGCAACTGCAATCTCCATGACCAGCCAAGCCCAAAACGCATCAGGCCGAGAGAACCAAGGGAGGCAGCGCAAATGCCCAGCAGACGCCTTCTAGAGAAAGAGACAGGCTTTAGTTCATTTGTTTGGCATCCGTATTTGACTGAGTATGTGGTTGAGCAGTGTCAGAAACTCAAGATATATAGGCCCATTTTCATAGTTTTAGATGCCCCATACTCATATCGTGTGCCCTGGCTCTGATTTACGTCGGAGCAGAGGATTTACGTGGGTCTTCTCAGGGGGACGGCTGGAAGGAGACGATCCTGCTTGGGGTGGTCAACTGGCCTTGCTCCCCTCTGCCTGCCGACAACCACACCTCCCTTCAAGGAAGGCTCTTTCCCTTTCTTCTTTATATATCAGGAGGGGACCCCAAGGGTCATCCAGCCCAATCTGCTACCAGGCAGGAATTGGCCACCTCACCCCCTTTGTGTCCCCAGCCCAGCTAGATGCTGCCCTCTTCAATGGCCCTTGGAAGGCGATTTAGGGATCCACTGAGGGATCCACCCTTCTCCTGCAGCTGCCAGTTCAGTCCCGCCATGAAGCCCCCCTTGCCATTCCCTTTGGCTGCCTGATGTTCTCGGGGCGACTGCTCATCTGCTAACAACATTTATACCTCCAGGCAAAGGGAAAACCATGCGTCTACTCTGAAGGCTCAGAAATGTCAAAAGTGCTTTTCTTGAGAGCACCTCTCTGCTGCAAGTGTCCCAAACTGGGGTGAAGTTGCTGGTTTGTAAATATTAAATATTCCTACTTTATTGATCTGAATTACTCAAACGGCTTCTAGTGCTGGCCACTACAGCAGGGGCTGGTCCCCATTTCTTCTTCTGGTGTTCAGTTCAGAGTATCTGCTCAAAAAATCAAACAGAAAGCAATGGAGGGTTGCCCTTAAGGCTGGGGTCTTCTAGACCCAAACTGGGTTTTGGGATGCCCCATTAGACAAACCAGCCAGCTCCCTGCCTCTCTAATTCACTGGGCATTCAAGGATTTGCTTAGAATTTAATTCTCTTTTTTAATTTAGGCCTCTTCCAAAACATTTCTCTCAAGATGTAACGTGCAAGTGTACAACTTTGGGATGCTAATTCATCTCTGCTTGGTTTATGTGGATAAATCGATAGGTGGAAGAATCAATTCCCTGGTTGAATCTGAAGAAATTAAGTTTTCAACAAAATGTTAGTCACCCTTAGAAAAGAAAAAAGGAGACCTCACCAACATGGGGGAAGCCAGAAGGTTTTGCCCTACCCCAATCAAATAAATAACAATACTTTACTGTATTTTTACTGTACTGTACTGTGCTGGTTAGGGGGGGTCCGTGTGATATATCAGGACTGGGGTTGTTTAAAAATGTTCTTAAGTGTTAGATGTCAATTTCTATTTCTATTTTTCCCCTTTTACCTTTATGCCTGCAGCTGACTTTTCCTCCACCTCCTCTTCTCCCTTCATCAGGCGAAGCTTCCTCCTCCTCCTTTTCAGAGCTGGAATTCAGACCTAAGAAATATCAATAATGTCAATTATTTTCACAAGAAGGGAAAGAGGAGTCCCCGTCCAAGCAGACATCGAACATGTCCAGCCCAGATTGCAGTGGAAAAAAGAATCAAGTGGGAAAGGAGCCAGCAGACGACGAACTGGAATAAATGTGTTTTCCCCCCGTTTCTTCTTTCT